CCGCCAGCAGAGACCACAACTTCAGTGAACCAAAGGGCTTCATCGGCTGGGGGTAGCTTTAGCTCCTGCCTGGCACCAAAGGTGTAGCAGCGCTTGTGATTGAAGGAGTTTGTCATGATCCGGGGGGCCACTATGACACCAGCGTTGCAGCACCACAGGTGGCAAAAGGTGTGAGAGTTGATAATGGAGTTCCATGACTTGCAAATGCCAGAGCAACTCGACAGTGTGGCCAGGTCCACAAAGCTCAAGATCCTCTCCACAACACCTTCCTCCACACTGTCCACCATAGCTAAGTGGACGTGCTTCACCCTCCCACAATATATCCACTATTGAAGAGAATATCAGTCCCTCAGGAGGAGAATTTACTTCCTATTGAGAAACCAAAAGTTTCTCTTGGGTTTTCTTTAGGAAAGGCATGCCTTCCCCAATGTTGTGAGACCTTAAGTGAATTCATACATATAATACTTTGATAAAGTATTCTATAGGTGGATGATAATGAGAGTGTTGTTATTGTCTCACTTGTACACAGATTGAATGCTTAATAGACTATTTTAAAACAATTGAAAGAATGTTTGTCAAATATTGATCCCGTAACTTAGCATTAGCCACTTCTGGCAATTACAAAAATAAACTCAAATTTGTTCATAATATTGAATCATGACCATATAAAAATTTATATAGTGAAACATTAATGGAACACATATATATATATATACACATATATATATATACATATACATATATATATATATATATATATATATATATATATATACATATATATATATATATATACATATATATATATATATATATATACATATACATATATATATATATACATATACATATACATATATATATATATATATATATACATTAGAAAGATGGAAAATAATAATTTCAATCTGAGTATTAAAAGTTCACAAAAATATCCTGTCCTCTTTTCTCCACATGTTGGTACAGGCATGTGCCTGTAACTCTTCATCAATGTTTAACCTCCAAAGTTCAAATCTTCTTCCATAACTCTCAATAAAGAATTAGGTGAAGAGTTGATGGATTTCTTGGATTCAACATGAAATTGTAATTCCTCTTATTGGTTGGCTAAAATGGGATGAATGGAGATTGCTTTAGAACCATCTTTAATAATAGAATTTCTAGAATAACTAACATGCCCTTTTGATTGCCTTACTGTGAGATAGAATATAGTTATCAACCACTCTTTTTTCTTTTGCGGTGAGAATAAGATTTCCTCCTAAATATACTCCACCTAAAGCTGATGGAATATCCTTGTATTCATCTAATATATAGTAATTCTAGTTGCCGGTTTCTTGCAGGGATTGTTGCATGAGGAACACTGAGTCTCTTTTGGAGATTGCACTCTGGAATTGGAGTTTCGGCAGGAGCCGCCGAGAATTCATCCTCGAAATCGGCATTAGAGGTGGAAGGTTTGAACGCATATCTGCGTCGTATTTTCATGGTTTGAAAGAGAAAAAACAAAGGGAAAAAACGCTTCTTGCAGCTAGCTTACCATCTGTGTGACGTTGATCTTCTCGGCAGACGCTTCAATCTGTCCCCTAGATATGCTGCCATGGATGGAAGAAAACTTGAATGCTTTTTGGAGAACTAAGATCCACCTGGGAAGATTTTGACGAGCGTTATCTCCCGTGAGAACAATGAGGAGCTCTCTAGTGTTCTCTCCCGCAACAGTGAGGAACTCCAATTTTTGCAAAAGCTATGGTTTCTTGGTATTCTTTTTCTTTGTTTTGTTTTTATTTGAACTTTTCCCTGCGTGAATCATATTCCTTCTAGGGCTAGAAATCATCCTTCGTCACAGCTCGATTGACTGCCGGACCGAGGAGTCCACCAAATGTAGCTTCTTTCCAGGACTTCCAGGAGCGCTGTGATCTTGAAAATCATAGCAAGCATGTCCGAAGAGGAGGCAAATGGAAAATGAAAGTTTGTGATTGTAGTTATTGTTATATGGCATCAATAGCTTTGCGTGAGAGGATGGATGAATAACAGCAAACCTTCTTGCAGGAAGTACGCACGCAGGCACAGGTGTCGAATGGCCCCTTCGTATTAACGTATCTGTGGCACAGCTTCCCTCGATTGTTTGGCAGTTTTATTTCGTGCAACCTCTTATCATTTCGGCATACTGAGAAAAAGGTAACGAGACGAAAACGTCAGATACTTTCGAGCTCACTCAGGCCTTTCTTATACAGAGGTCGTGTCGATTTGTGTGGATGTGTCCATGGAAAAGAAAAAAATCTTGGCTGAACTCTCAAAGAAAGCTCATTTGAGAGCCTTAGAAAACAGAGCAAGCAGCAAAGTACTAACGAGTGTTGCCTTTGAAAAAGAGAACTATAGTGGCGCCGTTTTATTGTAAGAGCTTCTTTGCTCTTCACTCTTATAGCAACTTTGCTGTGCAGACAAGTGGTGCAGCCATTTCGCTGGACAGCTTGAGAACCTCAGTGAGATCCACGGGATGGAGCGAGTCTGCCTGGAACTCGAACTGTTGAACCAATCGAGCCGTCCAGAGGAGAACAGTCGCAAGGCCGACAGCTCGTCCGGGACACACCCGACGACCAGCTCCGAATGGAGCGAGACGTAAGTCGCTTCCTTTGACGTCGATGTCCTGCTCAAGAAATCTCTCCGGGCTGAATTTCTCAGGCTCGGACCAGATGGAAGGATCATGAGTGATGGACCACATGTTTACCATGGCCGTGGTGCCTGCAGGGACGTGGTGACCGGCCAAGGTTACGTCGTGAATCGCAAGCCGAGCCCAAGAGAGCAAGGGACCCGGAGGATGCATCCGAAGATGGCTACAATGGCTTGGAGGTACACCATCTTGTGGAGGTCAGACTCGGGAACTTCGGATTTTCCTCCAACTACGCTAGCGATCTCCTCACGCAACTTGCTCTGGATTTCAGGATGGAGGACGAGCTCCGCGAGAATCCATTCGGTGAGGAGTGCAACGGTGTCAGTGCCTCGGAAAATCATCTCCTGTGAAGACAGCATGGAAAACAACGTAAGTCGTTAGATAGGCTAGAAGCAGTTGTAAAAACATCCTCGTTTTTTACCTAGAGAACTGCGATCATGTCGGCGTCGTCGAGCTTGTCCTCGCCATCCAGCGAGAGCAGCACATCCACAAAGTCGGGCTGTGCAGCTTTACTATCCTGTTGCCGATGATCATCAATAATCTTCTGGACAAAGCTTGTCACCCGAGGAACCAGCACGGCACAGCGTTGGAGGATGTTCTGGGGATCGACTGCCTTTAGAGCTGGCAAGTGATCGGCCCAGTTGAACGCACCCAGCAGCTCGAAGCCTTGCCTCACCATCTCCGTGAGCTTAGCAGCGTCCTCGGATCCATCCTCGAATCTTCTCCCAAACACCACCGTCTGCATGATGTTTGTTAAGCGAAGCTCGCTGGAGAAAGTCCCGGACTCGGACAAGGCCATGGTTTTCCGCTGCAAAGGTACTCATCGCTTTGATCATCCTGCTCGTCTCCTCCTGACGAGATGGTTCGTGAGCAGCAATCTGGCGTGGAGAGAAGAGATAGTTGGAGGCGATCCTTCGCAAGTTACGCCAGTAATCTCCATAGGGAGCAAAGCCGATTGCTCGTCCAAACAGGAGTTGCTGAGCCGACTGCTTGAGAGGCCTGTCCGCAAACTCGGAGCTGTTGAGCAGCTCTCGTGCCACTTCCGGCTTGCTGGTGATGATCATCCTCGTGTTACCCAGACTGAAGGCCATGAGCTCCTTCGCATGGTACTTCTCGGCAAGCTTGGCCAACTTTCGGTGAGCTTGGCCTCCCATATCCGTCAGGACTCCAAACACTGGCCATCCTCGGGGTCCTGGGATCGTCTGCTTCTTCCTCAGCGTTCTCCCCCATGCATTGCCACCGGGAACAAGCCGCCAGGATCACCGAGACAGCCGCTAGAACGAGCACGGCCACAGCAGCAGCGATGAATCTCCATGCATCCGCGGAGAGATGGCGCGAGAGAAAAGGCAGAGTAAGAATCCACCAGTCGACCCCAGAGGACGAGTCCATGATCGAGAAGCGAGACAAGCGCGACACTTTGGACCAAGAGAAAGAGCTCGAGACAGGCAGTGCTCTTGGTTGCGGTGGTGGCATCGCTTTTTATACTGGCAACAGCAAGATTATCCATAGCTGCATGTCTGGAGAAACTATTGGCCGAGAAGGGGAACGCTCGAAATGGTAAGTCTCCAAGGTAAGTAGCTTCTAGTTCCCTTCGGATTTTTTACTGTTGGTGTAAAAGATGTGTTTTCTTATCTGCAAATTCTAGGCATTATCGCACTAGTGACTCGAGTGAAACCATCGCTTCGACTCGTGAATACTCGCTTATGGTGCTTTTAATCTCCAAGGTTCTGATTTCTTACTCGGATTTTATTGTTCTAAAAACAGTTCTTCTGTTTCAGGCATTATCACATGAATCACACTGGGAAACCATGGCTTCCACTGGCGAATGTGATTAAATGGTGCTTTTAATCTCCAGGGTAAGTAGCTTCTATACTCGTCCTAAAAATGTGTGTATGTATTTTTATGGATTAAATGGTGCCTTTAATCTCCAAGGTAAGTAGCATCGTTCTAAAAGTTCTAAAACATGTGCGTGTGTTTTTTTTAGTGACTCGAATGAAACCATGGCTTCCACTCGAACGTGATTAAATGGTGCTTTTAATCTCCAAAGTAAGTAGCTTCTCGGATTTTTTACTGCACTCGTTCTAAAATATCTGTTTTTATTTTCTTTTTTTTGTAGATTAGTGATAGTGATTTGCTCTTAATGAGGTTGGAAGATTTTTAAACTAGTAACGTCGCGCGTTTTTGAATTTTAGGGCAATAGTATCTTGGTTCGATTCCCGTTCGATAGGCGCATCGCACGGCCCTGGCAGCGCCACGTGGCCAAGCTCTTTCCATACACATATGTATATAAAGGCCACGATAGCCATGGCCAGAGTTTAGGGTAATTGTTTTGGCGATGGCGAGGGCGCAAAGGTAGGATCTCTTCCGGTCTTGCGAATTTCTTTTCCCGATCGATCGCGCAGAAATATGTGCCCTCCATGCGAAGCGTCCGGAGACTGTGGCGGGGGCGCCAGCGGCGGCGCTGGATTGAAGCGGAATCTAGAGCGCCGCGGGGCAGCGCCAGAGGAATTGGTCCCAGCAGGTTCTCTTCCAAGTCGGTTTGCGAGGATGGATCGAAAAGTGGCGATCATGGGTGTGAGGCCGACAGCTCGCTACAGGCGATCTAGCGCTGGGGCTGGAGCATCGGGCTCGGCTCAATCGCCGATTGTTTTAGGGGGTGGGGCTGGCCTCGCAGCAGGGCCGGAGATTATCGATCTGGAAGCCGAGGTTGGTTCCCCAGGGATAGGAGGAGCTTCTCATTCTTTCCTTGACGGGGAGGGTTCTAGTCAACCTTTGCCGAAGCGACAAAGGAGCTTGAGGGCTGATGGCTCTCCAGCTGGCTCTCCAGCTGCTGTAACTCTTGCGGCTGGAAGACTTGGAAGAGGAAGAGCTCATGGAGCAGCAACTTGGGGTAGAGGACCAAGGCAGTTTCAAGCACCGGGTGATAGAGGTGTGGTGAGGCCGATTGATGTGGATAGTGTTGTGGAGGTGGAGGCGCGAGCTTTACAGGTGAGTGAAGACGAGAGGCTTGCGAGAGAGCTGCAAGAGGAGTTCTCCACTGCCGGGGTACGTAGAACTTTTCTTTCCTTTTGCTTTTCTGTCTAGAGTTCATGTCTTTTGTTCTTTTCTGAAGCAGAGAGATGCTAATTTGGCTAGGAGTTTGCAAGAGCAAGAACAGCGCCAGCAGCTTCGTCACGCTATGGGCCATGGAAATGCTGAGCGGTTGTATTACAGGCGGCTTGAATCGGTGCATGCGAGGATCCAGCAGGCGTTGGAGAACAGGCAGCGTAGCGGACTGCCAGGCAGATTCCGCGGTTTAGAAGAGGTATGCTTTTTTCACGAGTTCTACAAGTTTGGTTGCATACTTATCTTTCTTTCTTTTCGACCAGCGCTTGAATGAATTTGGAGCTATGCTGCGTAGGAGTATACCCCTTGCCATGCAATTGGCTTATGTTGACCGCGACTTCAACGAGTAAGCTTCTGTGTTTTCCGTGAAAGCTTCCGTGATCTTGACTGGAGACTTTTTGCCTTTTCTCGCTGCGGCAGGAATGATTACGAAACACTTTTAGCTTTGGACGAAGGTGTAAAACAGCGGGGAGCTTCTCAGGCCCGGATTGACGCTCTTCCAGTTTCGGAGGCAGTGGTATGATTATCTAGCTTCCTTTTGCCTTTGTTTCCATTTTCTAGTTTCTTACGGACAAGGATCGACAGGAAACGGATAAAAGCGAGCCATGCTCGATTTGCCTCGAGGTTCCAGTAGGCGGAGAGGAGATCCGCCGCCTCCCATGCTTGCATGGCTTCCATAAAGAGGTAAAAGAGACGCTGGTCCATCCATCTCTTTCGCCTCGTTATCTGACCAGTGTCTGCTTGGCTTGCAGTGCATTGATACTTGGCTCCAACGGCGTGCAAACTGTCCGGTGTGTAAGGCTTCGGTCTAAAGTCCCAAATCTCGTCCATGGCCAAGGCAGTGAAAGGAGACAAGCAATGCACGTAAGTACTCTTGTGTTTTTAGCTACGTAGCCAGTTTCGCTCAAGTTCCTGTCGTGCAAATCGCAGAGGTAGCGGCCTTCGCTTCCGTATGTACTCGCATTCAAGTGGAAAAGAAGCTCGAGAATTTCTACTTCTTGGGCTTTGGATCGTCCGCTGGATGGAAGTGGTTTCCTCTCAAATCGAGCTTGCGAGAGTACAAACTAGAGAAGGAGCAGTAAAAGAGCCTGTGAGAGGTACGCGATTGGATTCAAAGCTCCTACACTCATAGATCTTCTCCTTGGAGAAAAAAAAAATACAAAGGTTGATCTTTCGAACTGACTGCTAGTACTTCGTACGTAGGGAGTTCATGCACTTTGCGATGTATTTTGACTTGGCTTTTACGGTTTTTACCTGTGGTTGTTACCGAAGGTAAAGTGTGCATTACCGTTCGTACAGTTTACTGTATCGTACGGGAATGATTAAGAATGATGAAGCCCTAGTCTTCGTCCTGTCGATGGGTTTTGGATGTTGGCATTTGCCAGGAGAAGGAATTCCAAATCTCTGAGAAAAGCAAAGAGATATCATACCAACAATTCTTTATTTTTTCAATGTGGATCTTGGGACACACAAATCAATCAGCCTAGCAAAGCAAGAGATGGATCAAATCGATCAAATTGGGAAGAATGCGCGAGATCTGGATCAAGTTGGGAAGAGGAAGAACTGGATCATTACAAACTCCAGGGGGGGTCCTCCAAATTGGCGAAGCTCCCGAGCTGCGAGGCTTCGTGCGCCAGTGGAATCGGCCACACCTAGAAGACGAAGAACGCCAACTCATTACTATACTGTTCAAATCTTTTTTAAAGGAGGGAATATGCCTTGCTCACGGTAAGGCATATCCCTCCTTCGTCTTCCTTACGAGAGTGTAAGCCCGCGACTCGAGAGGCTCCAGCGTCACGCCGCGCTCGTTGGTGGGAACGATTCGCCCAAGCGCTGGATCGAAGAGCGCCGCGCCGTCGCCAAAGTGGCCCACGAGATCGAAGGGCGATTTGTCGTCGATGATAGAAACCACGCCCCCGTCAATCACGATCTGGGCAGCAGCATACGACTGCGCGGCGGGATGGTGCAATTGCTCCGACCCTGCACAGAAAAAAATGGCTGGCCCGTTTAGGAGAGGAAAAGAAAGGAAGCAAAGATCTTGCCCAGTCCAGTCTAGCTAGGAGTATACGGCACTGCTCGCTCTGGGACTTGTCTATCTATCTATCAGGACGAGAAGAAACAAGGAAGAAGAAAACTCTCATTTTTCTCGTTCTTCTCTTTTTTTGTTCGCACCCAGGAGGACGAAAATGAAAGACCGATGGGATTGATCGAAAGAGATGGAGAAAGAAAGAGAGAGAGAGAGAGAGAGAGCAGTAGTATCGCTCATTGATTTACCGGATGAAGCTGAAGCGGAAGCGCTAGGGGCGGAGGAGGACAAATCCTGCTGGAAAGCGGCGGTGGCACTGGCGGCGGCGGGAGAAGAAGAGGCGGAGGCGCCAGAGGCGGCGTTGGCCTCCTCGATGCGGCGCCGCTTGCGTTTCTCGCGGGACTTCTTGTTCTGAAACCAATAGTACACTTTGGATTCGTCCACCGGGCCGTGGTGGCCGATGAGCTCGGCTATCTCCGTGACGTTTTCTTGCGATGGCGGCGTCCCTTTCGCGTAGAATTCCTCCAGGATGCCCAGCTGCTGACTGTTTGGCCGCCACCGCTGCTGCGCAGGCCTTGTCGGCGCTGGCGGCGCTGGCACGGATGAGATTTCGATGTGTTTCCTGCGACCTTGCAGAAGAACAAATGGGTAGTCAGTGCTTGCAACGACGGCAAAACGAAAACAAAACGATCCAGAGAAAGATATATACTTCTGTGATGCATATGCAATGCCTTTAGCTCCAGGAGCTCTGTGTTGATATCCCGCTCCTGATCGATCTGATCAGACTCGGACGACGCCGGCGATGATGCCGCCTGCTGCTCGCACCGCCTCATTCTTCCGGGGTCGATCGATCTAGTGAAGAACAACCGAAAGAAAAGAGAGGAGGGATCGAGTTGCTCGCACAGGGAGCTGGAGATATGGAGGAGAAAAGAAGAGAGCGCCGGGTCGTGTTGTGTTTCCACCTGATCTTTGGGGTTGACGACGTAATCACTGCGTCAGGTATATTCCTTCGCACTTACCATTTTTACTTACTTTGTGACGCCAGTAAATACCTTCCCACAAATCAATACTTACTGCCCGCGCTGCGGCCTACATTCCCTTGTGCGTAGTTTAATACGTATCCAGAGAAATTCTCTCCCAGCCGGTATGTATTTGGTAAGTTTTTCTGTACTTTTGCGTGCCGAGTAAAAACCGTCAACGACAACCTTCGGAGGGTTAAGATAATCAAGCAACGTCACAACTTTAAAATTCACGCAGCATTAGCATGCTACCTTAATGTTAATTAATCACAATCTCTTCGTCTCAAATCTTTTTCTTTTCTATACAAGAAAATCATCTGCGTTCTTCTTCTTCTTCTTCTTCTGAAATTCTTCTTGTTTTTATATTGTTTTCCTCTTCTCCAATGTTGAGAAAGATTTGGATTGGGATTTGAGATGCTAGCAGCAGCTGCAGCCTTGCATTGTTGCAGGGGGGCACTGAAGCGTGATTGGGTGTGATGAGATTTTCAAGAGCAGTATCTAGAGAGCATTAGATGTGGCTTCCTTGTCTATCATGAATCTGGGGCTTCAAGCTTTCTTGAGAAATGCATTGGAATTTAAGGATCACATGAAACCTGCAGGAGCAGATAGAACCACCACCCAAACAAAATTATGCTAAGAAAAAAGATGCCAATCGGATTCGAACCAGAAGAAAAAACTACTGTTCTCTCTTTTGTTTTACTCTCACTCCCAATCTCTCTCTTTTATTTCATCCTATGTTGGGCTCAGTGCGGCCTCGTCACGAACATTTGCGGCAGGCAGCGTGTAATCGTCATCCTGTTCTGAAAGGCCTCGACGCCTGCAGATTGGGCTTGCGTCGAATGGCTCACATCCGCTCTCGAACGGAATACTAGACAGATTCTAGGGATTATTCGTGTTAAAAAATACTCATGCTTGGAAACTCGCCTCTATCTTAGAGCTTTGAAATGGAGACAAACTCACCTCCTGCTCTTCGAATTTCTGTGATGGCAAAGAGCTCGTCTCGTCATTTGAAAAGATCACATCTTCCAGCTCTATAAAGATCAACGATGGATATTTCATGCTTAGAATGGTTTTAGTACCTTTAAAAGCAAGTCCCCCGTGATCATTCTCCAGGAATCTGGATTCGCAGCTCTGTAACACCAAGCCCGCAGTTGTAATCAAAGAGAGGAGCAGCAACGCGGAGCGGAACTTGCCCATGGATCCAAGCGCAGCCTGAGCGAATGGTCACCGGGCCGACGTTAAATCAATGTGTGATATAAAATAATACTATTTTAACGACCAGAATTCTACGCGCACATCGTCGAAGTGGTTCCTAACATGCACGAAGTTGCAAAAAGTCAAACCCGGCCGCACCAACTTACGCTTTTGATCACATGCCTGCCTGTCAATGCGCTGACCAGATTTTATAAGAGACCCCCTGATTAAAGAGTTTTCACAAACTACAGTGGGAAAAAAAAACCTTTCTGGGATAAACCCTAAACTGTGTATTTTATTGATTATTCCTCTCTCTTATGGAACTGTGTAGCCATCCATCTCAAAGTCCACAATGATTCCACGTCGTCGCGGACGCCACAGTCGCAAAACAACGCCTTTCTCTTTGACGTGCTCCAAATGTCCGCGAACGCTTTGAAAACTCGCGAGGAAGAGTATAGGTCAGTGATACGCGATAGATCCCTTGAACAGCTTGCGTTCTTCCTCTGTGATTCCTAGCACGTAGCAGGCGGAGAATGTACTGGAATGGACGAAAGAGGGCGCACTGACAAAATCAACATCTCCAATGGTGCTAATGATGGCTTTGGTACCGTCCAGTTCAAGCTCTCTCATGAACTGGACTTGTTGTCGAGGGTCTTACCAGATTCGGGGAGTGAAAGAGAGACCGTGAGAAACTGCTAAACGCGGTGTCTCGAGCTTTAGCAGAGACGTCGCAAGTCCAACTGCTAGCTCGAGCTCCCATCGACAAACGTTGTTCTCAGACGAATTCACTTCCATTTTCCGGAAGCCTCCGTTCGCCACCACTCACAGATCTGTACAAACCGACACAACAGCGCCAGGAACGTTCATGGGTTCCAGCCGTGACGCGCATGCTCTGTAATGCTTTTATGATAATTCGCTTAAATCGTTCCTTGTGTTCGTTCGCATCTGATCACATACATGAGTATTGCCTATAACTGCTACTAGTAAAGAGATCTTGGGCTTTACCCGCGAACCGAATTTAGGTTTAGCGACACAAGTCTTTTGTTACTAGCAATGGACATTCAAATGGCCCATTTGAATATCTATCGTCGGTAAGAGAAAATGAATCCTGTGAGGTGCCGTCCCTAGCATTAGACGATCGATCGAGCCGAGAGCTAACACACTGTCTCCAGATCCTTGACTGAAGAAGCCAGTTCATAGACACCATAGGCTTTCTGGACGTGCCAGCTCTTACCCTGAGAAAAGGAAAGATATCATACCTCAAAACACTTTTTTATTTTTCGGCACACAACTCATTCAACTGGAAGAGTAGAAATTCTTCCAGGGCTGGTCTTCCAGATCCAGATTGCGATCGACAGAAGAGTGAATATGCCTTGCTTGCGAAGGCATATCCCTCCTCCTTCTTCGACAGCCCTCTTCCTTTTTAGAAGAAGGATTGTATCTTGTGTGTTCTAGGTACAGAACCTTCAACTGATGCCTTTCGAAATCGTGATCAGACTCGCTGATATCCTGCTGCTCGCGCCGCCGCCTCATTCGATGGATCGATCGACAGCCGAAAGAAAAGAGAGGAGGAGCTCGGGAATGAAGAATTGCGGTCTTACCATTTTTACATGAGACGATAGTAAATACGCCCCGCTGCCGCCAACATTCCCCTGTGGGTATCTTAATACGTAACGTATGTGTATGTTATGGCGTGCGACGGGTGGTGCGCGTTCAATTTCTAGTTTATGGGACATGCACGTGGTAAGGCTTTGAAAGTTTGTGCGAGAAGGGAGCCGCTATTATCTAGTCACAAGCTTTGAAAGAGCCGTCAAAATCTAGCGGCGTGGCAGCTCCTGGCAAATCAAAGTTTAGTTTTTGTATAATTTACTTGTCTCGTTGCACCTGGGATCATCGAGAACAAAGTCAGCAAGTTTCTAAGATCTTAGAGTTCTTGCTTTACTGCTCGACTGCAGTGTGGAGCTGGCCCAGGATGAATCCACAACGGACGAACACTCTTGTTTCGGATGTTTAGAGCGACAAAAACCCTAAACCGTTGACCAGGATATTCGCTCTTTATTCCTTTCTTATAACAAAACTGGTGTGCGTGTGTGTGTGTGCGTGTCTTGTTTGTTTACAGGCTGACTTTCTTCGGCTGGAGTAGGCCTGGCCGCTCCTTGTTCGCGGATTCCACGTCCTCGGCGGACGCTACAGCCGCGACAATGCCCTTCTCTTTGACGTGCTCAAGCACGTCCGCGAACGCTTTGAAGTCTCTGAGGCTGCCAGCACAAACGCGAGGAAGAGTAAAGATCTATCAAAGCAGTGGTGATTAGAGTGACAACGCACCTTGTTGATAGGATTTGCTCCCTTCGCAGCTTGCGTTCTTCCTCTGTGATTCCTAGAATGTAGCGGAGCATACTGGAATGGACGAGAGGAGGTAAGGAAATGCCAAAAGGAATGTAGATTTGTGCAGCGTACCTCGAGTAACCCTTTGCATCTGGAAGCTGATACGAATCAACATCTCCAATGGTGCCAATGATAGCTTTGGTGAGCGCGTCATCGTCCAGTTCAAGCTCTCTCAGGAACTGGACGGTTAAGTCGTAGTTGTCGATGGTCTTTGCCAGATTCGGGTCTCGGTAGGACAAGTATGTAAATACGCCTGAGAGAGACAGAAATGTGACTGTGAGAAACTACTAGATGGTGAATTACCCGAATGAGAATCGAAGTCGCAGAAGCCTCCGTAAGCGCCACCACTCACACGCACTCGATCCCACAGCCACGTGTTGCCAATGTACTTGGAAATAACATACGCGCTTCCATCGAGCTCATATCCTGTATCGTACAAATTTGCTGCTTTACCAACGTAGTTCACCTGTGGGGGAAAAAAAGCCCAAGTTACAAAAGGGAACGAGAGATTCTCCTCTTACCTGTGTGGGAACTATAATGCCTTCATTGCATGGTTGAAGAATACCATTCCACGTGCAAACAACTGGCTCGGTTTCAGGCAGGGCTTCGAGTAGAGAACTGACAAAACTGTCTGCTTTGGTCAAATTCTTCTCATCTGCTGTCAAGTTCACGATGGCCCCTTTCCGAGACAGAAAACTCGTCCGAATTCTTTCCAGATTCTGTTGCACTGCGGGCCAGTCGGTGTCCACTTGCTTCTCTAATTCGCGCAGATAGTCTAGATAACTGTACAGACGGTACTTAGAGGATAATTAAAGCGGAGTTATAAGTACCTGAGACCACCCATTTTCTCTCCAACAGCGCCAGGAATGTTCAGCATTGCGTCCAGCCGTGACGCCACAATTCTGTGGCCAGCACCTCTAAGGCGGCTCTGTAATGTTTTATGATAATTGTCAGCGAGATAAATGGTGCCGGCAACTTTACCTCCATGCCTGACTTGCTCTGGGACACAAACTGCTTAAATCGTTCCTTGTCAGTAAATTGTACGTCTTGAAGGATTGTTCGCATCTGATCACATACATGACATGTAAGAGTAGTGCCCACGAATGCTAAAATACATACCAGACTAAAGAGATCTTGCGCCTGTGAAGCCATGGCTTTACCACGAATAATCATTTTGCTTGATGGTTCTTTTTTCCCGCGAACCGAGGACGTCGAAGGATAGACAGAAATGCCTCCTGTCTTTCGACCAATAAGCAGGTTTAGCGACACAAAATCCATATCTTTTGTTCCCATCTCGAGCAAAGATTGGCTGGACATTTAAACGGCCCACTAAATATCGTCGATAAGAGGAACAGAAGTAGTACTGACCAGAAAAGCGGAACCAGGGGCAAAAGCTCAGAAGGAACAGTGCGCAGCTCAAAAGCAACTTCTGCATATAAGACATCATTGGTAAAGATATCATGACGTAACATAGTCGCGCCGTGCATTTCACCGATCTGATCAATCAGGCATTAGACAATGAGGAACGCTAATTATTGAACTTACAGCAATTGGAACGTGAATAGGCTCTTTTGGAATATCAGACAGTGACAGAGATGGTACTGCTTTTAATGCCTCAGGAGGATCAGGCGTTTCTTGGCGCTTCTTTAGCTCCTCGGTTGCTCGAGCAAGTTCCTCAAGCTCTTGTTTTGCCAGGCTTGCTTTCACCTTCGCCAGTCTTTCCTTCTCCAAGGCTTCAATTTCTGCTGATTTTTCAGCATCCGGCTGAGCAACACCACTTCCAAATCAGTACGAAGGACCTTTTTCATGTAAGACCGTACCTGGAGCTCAACAGTCACAAGATGCTTGTTGCTAAGAAGGAAGTTCTGTATAAGTGGTGAGAAAACTGCCTTAGCACCCTCCGTCGCTATCTTGGCCTTCAAATCTTCTAATGGCTTGGCGAATCTCAAAGGTTCAAATGGATCACGACCATACAGCCAGTTACCCTGTAAGAAGTGTCAGAAGAGCATGCATTAAATACCAAAATGTCTAAAATACTCACCATCGACCTCAGCATGAGAGATAGTCCGCGTGGGAACGATCCAGTGTTGTTCTCTCTTAGTGCAAACTCGATTGTGTTCATAGAAGCCTCGACAGCTTCAGACGTGAAACCTTCATCAGCTAGCTTTTGTAATGTAGATACGATCAATTCCTCAACTGCTGGGATATCACTTTCGGCGACGCCTTTCATGCCGATACTAAATTGCGGTTGAAGGAGGTCATCTTCTACTCCGCTTGAAGTAAGAGCCTCTCCCAGGTGACTTTCAAGCAACGTCTTTCTTAGAGGTGCTGCTGGCGTCCCTAGCATTAGATGATCTAGAAAGCCGAGAGCTAGCTCAGTTTCCAGATCCAATGGCTTGTCTGAAAGAAGCCAGTTCATAGAGACCATATGCTTTTTGGACGTGTCAGTCTCCTCTCCTACTGCATATTTCTCTTTAATCTTCTTTGGCTCAGAGAGAAGACTTTGAGGTTTAACTTCGGATTCTGCTGCTGAGTTGTTGGCTTCAAAATTAGATAGATAGGCTGCTCCTCACACGGATCAGTAAATGCACGAACCATAAACTTAACACACTGACCATTCACGATTCGAAGTCGTTCAGTTGGATCATCGTCCCCATAAAACCATATCCTCGCATTACTGGGATGATAGAACTTTCTATGGAACTCCTGTTAATCATTGTAAATTCGTCACATAACAATCATGAGAGAGAGCGAGAATACCTGAAACTCTTCAAACGTTAGATCAGGAATCACAGATGGATCCCCACCACTGTCCACATTATACGCATTATTAGGAAATAATTCCTTCAATGAAAGAAAATGAAAGAATGAATTTTTAAAAATATCAAACTTAAAAAGCGGCTCATACCTGCTGGCAAATTCGGCCGAGAACACTATCTGGTTGCGAATAAACACCTTTCATTTCGTTGAACACAACACCTGCGTGTAACACCATAGACACCAGTCAACAAGGAGCTTCGAAGTGACAAATAACTTGCCTTTGTATGTGAGGTCTTCAGACAAATCGTTAACTTCGTAATGCCAACCTTCCTGTTGAAAGATTTGCGGGTCGCTTACGCAACGAGGATGAAAAACAGCGTCCAAATAAACATCCACTAGGTTGTAAAAATCCTGCAAGGAAGTGGAAAACTCGATCCATCAACAAATACCTGGAAAATCAATCACTAACCTTTAAGTTTGTGGAAGCCACAGGGTAGCAAGTCCGGTCGGGATACGTGAACGCATTCAGAAACGTATGCAAGCTTCCCTTGAGCAGCTCAACAAATGGCTCTTTGAGAGGATATTTTCTGGAGCCACAAAGAACGCTGTGCTCGAGAATGTGTGGAATTCCTTTGGAGTCTTTGCTGCACATAGAAACCAAAAAAACAAAGGCAAAGAAATGAGGGTGAGCAGGATGAAACTCATATATTGCTTACGGTGGTGTTCTAAACACGATTCCAAAGACCTTGTTCTCGTCCTCGTTCACGACCGACATGACCTCCGCCCCAGTCTTCTTGTGTCGATAGAGCACAGCAGTAGATTTGTACTCGGAAATAAACTCTTCCCTCACTTCCTCAAATCCCAGCTCCTTGACAACGTCCGGATTGGCTCCTGGAAGAACGAGCGATTCAATTCAATCCCATCCAATCACTCTCATCGATATTACGAGGATTTCTTACCAATCTTCGGCGCTGGAGCAGCGACCGCGGCTTGGGGAGCGTTGCAAAGCTTCCTCCTCGACACGGAGAGAGACGCTCCAAATGCGTCGCCCGGCGATGGAGCTCGACGCGAGACGCGGCTGAAGCAAGCGAGCTGATTCCTGTGATGAGGGAAGCGCCTGAGAATCCCTGGCGAGCAGCGATTGCCGACGTTGAGCACTGATGCGAGCTCCATTGCCTTGAATCCTCCTGCTCCACGCCTTCGCAGCACGGCGCGAGATAGCATCACACTGGAGCTCGATCGATGGGAAAGACGAAGAGAAGGCGCTGGAATATCAGCGCATTGTGATGCTCGCTTGAGCCCTAGAAATATTTAGCATCAACAAGTATCTGTACGAAAGAGAATATACTTTGTTATGTACGTCTTCTTTTAGGGTTTATCATCGGTTCATTCAAACAGGGGCAATGGCGCACGCATTCTCTGGCAATCCAGTGATTCCTGGTAAGCAAGCCGGACCGGCCGCCGAGGCGATTCTCGCTCGCCTTGCGGCGGAAAGCTCTCTCTCGCTGCAAATTCTTCCTTTCTTTCAAGGGAAGGCGCTGGTGGTAGCATTCGAATCGGGGAAATGGAGGCTGTCTTGGCAAGGGATCGAGGGGATTGCTCAATCGGGGATTGTGGAGGAGATTTCCAAGAACATGGTGTATCTAGGGGAGAAAGAGGGTCTAGTTTACTGTGCAATCGATGCTACGCCGCGACAACCCAGGGATTCTAGCAATGGCCGAGCCATTGCCGCGAGGTTTGAGAAGAATGGAGGCGGCGAGGCGGGATTCGTGGACCTGAGGACGCTGATGATCGCGGCGGAGTGGACGGACGAAGAAGTCATGGGAGAGCTCTCTATCGCCGGACATGTGTGTGAGTTTTCTCTTTTCCTTGGACGACTTCTTGTCTAAGTTTGTTCTTTCTTTTCTCTTTAGGCGAGAGCGTTGCTCGAGTGGCATCGTCAAGTCCAATTTTGCGGGCGATGTGGAACGATAACTCATCTGTGCGATGCCGGCCAGAGACGTCGGTGCTCGAGCATTGACTGCAACTACAAGCTATATCCTCGAATCGATCCAGTAAGTTTCTTCTGTGATTTTCTTCGCACAAAACAAGCCAAACTTCAAATATGTAGGTTGTGATCATGCTTGTCATTGATCCAGAAAGAGATAGAGCATTGCTTGCTCATCAACCGAAGTATGTTCCTCGAATGTGGAGTTGTCTCGCTGGTTTCATCGAGGTAAGTTTCCATCTTTGTTCTATGAGATACATCAAAGATTGTTCTCAACTTTAGCTTTATAGCCAGGAGAAAGTCTGGAGGAGGCTGTAAGACGTGAAACTCGAGAGGAAACTGGCGTTGAAGTTAGCAACATCGTCTATCACAGTTCACAGCCTTGGCCAGGTTAGTTTCATTCTTTTCTGGCATTTCTTGACGATTTTTTCTTGCAAAAATCAATCAGTCGGGCCGGGCAATATGTCGTGCCAGCTCATGGTTGGATTTTTCGCGGTGGCGACAACGTTTGACATCCAAGTCGATAAGAAAGAACTCGAAGGTGTCTATCTAGACATACATCAGAAGTTTCTTAACTTTCTCATGCTTTGGCTCTTCACAGATGCACGCTGGCATTCCCGAGAAGACGTCCAAAAAGCACTGTCAAACGCAGATTATACACGCGCGCAAAAAGCAACTGGCATCAATGTGTACAAGACTTGCCTTGGCGAAGAGATGCCCGGAAGAAATTCTTCACCGATGAATATGGTAGCTGCCGGAGAAGGGATTTTTGTGCCTGGACCATATGCTATAGCGCATCACTTGATATCAACATGGGCTTCTCAGGGCTCAACAGCATTGCTCAGCAAGATCTGAAAGACGCTGCAGTAGCAGGTACGCAAAAGTCTGTCCTTTCTTTTGGTCGTCACTACGAAGTACTGTTTATCAGGCCAGGCACTTTCGAAGTCTTAGAGATCACAGCAAGGCATTGCTTTGGAAATTCTGCGCAGTCGGGGCTTCCCTCGCAAAGTTTCTATCGCTACTTCGTTATAAAAATCTCTCTTCCAATCCATCAGAGGCCATGGCACGTCACAAGTTTGTCTCTCTTTACTTGTGGTATTGATAGTCGCTACGCAGCTAGCGACATTACACCGTCTCCAGCTCCAGCTCCAGCTCCGGATAGTTGCTGGAAGAATGTGGAGACCAAAACCGGAGGGGCATACTCCGAGAGTTTGGTCTACGAATCCATGTATCGAGTGCCGGGCAACATGACGATCCAGCGCGAGAAACTCTTTTGGAGTTTGAGCTGCTTCCATGACAAAGCAAAGTGTAGGAGGCGTGGTGGGGCTTCGGCGAGCGCGATCTCTCAATCTCCAAAATCATTTTATTACCGAGGGAACTCTGGACGTTCCTTGTGCGAACGCTAGACCATTTCTTGCCTATGTGCATGGATCACATCTACATCAGGAGCTGCTGGCGCAAGATCCTGGACAAGTTCCGTGAGTATTGCACCTCGTTGCCAGATCTCCTATGGCGTACTGGGAGTAGACATGGAGTTTTTCATTCGCCATGGAAGCTGGTTGATACAGGCTAGCCCCCTGGAAAGGAAGAAATTAAAGATCTTTAGTAGAAGTTTTCTCAAAGAAACAAGAGAATTTCGTTCTCGTGGAACTTTGACAATATGGAACGTTTGTTTTGATTGATAATAGCATCTTGAAGCTAGTCTTTGTACTGAATGGGCATATTTCAGTTGGCAACAATTAATTTCAAGTTCATGAGGGCATTAAATATCTGATGTAACATATATGTATATTCCCAATGTCCTTTGGGGACTAACAAGTACAAAGAGAAATAACATAAAGCATGAAGCATGAATTCTCTACCTCTCATGCAACATATCGCAAAACTAGAGCCACCTGTTATGCCCTAGAGAAAGCAAAACTCATCCCAGGGTGCTCTTCCACTTGATCACCAAGATGCCAAGTTGTCTTTTATTCTGTCACAGAGTAGGTATTTGAAAATGGCATCTTAAAGCTTACTGGTCTTATATCTCTCTAATACATTCTCTAATAATTGTTTTTAGATTATGTGTGTCCCAGCTGGTTGAATTCAAGGATGTTCAATGTGGCACAAGATGTGCAATCCATAACATTAAAAGTGGCGGGAATATATGGTATGACTTGTGACTTTTGAAGATCTCAAGAGTCTGGATTTCCAATATATTAGGGTTTTAGGTTATATTTCTCGTACAACAATTACTCTTGGCGCTCTTCTCTCACGTAGTGACGCTCAACGCTTGACAGCCATCCTCGAATAAGGGTTACACTCCAAGACAGCCTCCACTGACATAACAACATTCCCTTCCTCAAGCCTTTAACAGTGCATAATGAAGTTTTGATCCATGAACACAAGAGTCTTGTTTGCAACTGGATTCCCATCCTTGATAAATTGAAGGCAATTCTATATTAGAAAGGGAGTTAAGACCAAAACATCTGATAAATACATAAATGTCTATGTGATGACATTGACAGTGGTAGCTTGAAAACATGCCTTATCTAATTGTTGAAATTATTAGAGATGCCTTGTGCTTTAGAAGATGCACTTGATGCGATTCAAACAAAAGCATAGCAATTGCAGAACAACCTTAGCCTAACATCATATAAGATAATATGAGGCCTCATGCCATCTTGAAATACACACCATAGCAGGCATGATAGGAAGCCTATGTGATTTCATTCTCAAAATGGCAAGGGACCAAGATAGTATAAGGCCTCATGCCATTTGTGAACGTGGGTGACTACCACTAATAGCATGAGCTCTCATGCCATCTTGGACCCCTGCCATTTGAGATATCAAAGCCACACATGAGATTAAAGGAATGGAAATATGAAAAATCCTTATAAGTGCAGTAGAAGTGATAACAATAGGAAGCACTAGTAAGAGAAAGTGCGAGCAAACTAAATTGCAAGAAGAACTGCTGCTTGAACAAACTCACGCATAAACCACAGCAAGTGGAAGCACTTCTCACACCAACCCACTCACCTAAACTCACAGCTAATAGAAGTGCCACTCACAAAGCAAGTAGAAGCACCACTCACCAGACCTAGCTCACCTCCTCTTCTCAAGTGTAGCAAGAACAACGACTGCACTAGACCAAAATGAGAAAACTAGGAAAACATTTTTAAAACGTCACATTTGTAAATGTCATATCAAATCTTATACATATCACAAACTAAAGAACATGTTGTTCTATAATTTGCTATCGAATCATTGAACTTTGTAATATCATGTCTTCGTCTTGATCCAGTTGCAGTTTGCCATACCATGTTAGTTATAAAAACACTTTCCTGGTTGGGCATTTGTTTCAAGAAGTTGAGTTGAGCTTAAGTCAAACGCTTATTAACTCAGTTAGATTTTCAAGGTTTTGGTTCTTGCTGGATTTGCAGATCTGTACCAAAAAAGCACGCAAGTTTCAAGGTTTTTATGAACTTTGCAAGTAGGAACTGAGATATGTAGGATTTACATATTCAATATCTTGCTATCCATTCTAATAAAACTTCCATTCTGATCAAGAAAAAAAAGTGGAAACATTTTGACAACGATGTTAGTTAGCCATTATTTAGTGTACAGTAATGCATTTACATTCTATTCAAATGAAGAGATGAGAAGCACTGATCTCTGAGTAATAGTTGTAATGAAAAGGCGACCTTATGTGCAGGAGGATGGTGGTGAGCCACGGCTGGGCACGCCCCTTGTAAATTTGACTTTGAAGGAAGCATTCCCGTCAAACTGTGAGTGATTTAGACAATGTGTGGAAATGTCGAAGTGTGAGGCCCCTTCCTCCGCCATTGCCAATTCTTCTATGACAGAGCTGTCACTTCCGGGCCATTGCTTATCTAGCATAGTATGGTCGGGAGTCTAGTGCTTGGACAATATCAATAGTCGGAAACACAAGCCACATAAGCTGTCTCAAAAGAAAAGAATGAGCTACATGGAAAAGAATCCAACGTTTGGGACGAAGGGGAAGAGTTGCCGCCACTAGTGGGAAAGTCCAATGAAGATCTCAAGGGCCTAAAGCTCAAGATTTTGTTCGTCATAGACAAAGCCTGATATGGTTTACTCATCAGGACTCTAGGGCCATTTGGACGCCTTCGTCCCTGGGACAAGTTTCTGGTATTGAAGACTTGCAGTGACCAGCAACAAGGATGTATCAAAGTCTACCTTCACGCTCTACACTTACGTCAAGCGCGGCTCTCTCTCAAACTTGAGAGCAGAGAAAGATAAAACACAAGAGAAACTAGAAGACCTCCAGCAGGCACGAGCTTTTCAACCCAGTATCAGGATGACCGGCCTGTCTACAGGTGTTACCGACCTTATGGCCATGATCCTCCCTTTCCTCTGATCTTGCTCCAGGAAGAGTTCGTGCAGCTGGTGGCAAACTAAAAAATGCGTCAATTGTGTAGGAGGATCTCCAGTTTGTCTCCAGGTTCAGTGCCTGCCTGAACAGCATAGAATTCGTTACTCAGCATGCTGCGGCTTGTCAACAAATTAATGATTGGTTAGAGAACTACCAAGTTCCCATCTCGGCGACATGTTCTGAAGGTAAAGTCCAAACTGACGGTAGCAGGCATTATTGAGCTCAAAGCTCAATTTGGCAGATCGGGAGATCCATGTCTCCAGGGGAATAATTACACTCGCAGAGAATTGAGGAAGCACAGAGTAGCGCTTGCTATGCATGGTCTCCTGATCATGATCGCGGTTTCCACGTACTTCTACGACGAAGAGAATGATGAAGTCTGGTGTGAGCCGTTGTGCTCAGTTGTTCTTTACGGTCAACAGGTAAAAATCCTGGAAGAAGCGGCACCAATTTTGAAGAAAAAGAAGTTCGAGGTGTCCCTTTTAGACTTCGTGGAACTGGACAGTTTTCCTTTGTAATGATGGTCAGAGGAATTTTGTGGCGAAGTATTGTCGTAACTATGACACTCATAAGGCGTGGTGCAAGGTTGGAGCTGCCCCTGCTTTACTAGACCTCAGTGAAGCTGGAAGTTCGTATTAATGGAACATCTTGGGTGATACCTTTGTTAAATATCACAGCAGGGGTAGGGAAAAAACTTCTTCAGATTAAGAAGATTGTGAGACTATGTTACAACACAGGATTTGTTCACAGTGATCTGAGGCTCCCGAATATTATGCTATTGGCTTCAGAACGAACACGGTTAAAGCAATAGATTTTGAGTGGGCAGGACCGATAAACACTATAGTTTACCCTGTGCTACTCAATTCCCGGAATATCTGGCCGCCTGGAGCGGGGTATCCTTCCTGAGCACGACCTTTGGTTTGCTCAACATCTCAACTAAATGTAATGTCAACTTTAATACTCTTTCATTCTTTTAAGAGATTGAAGTATGTTATTTCACAAGAGATGGAAGTAAGGTGTCGTCGCAAGTGACTGCGTGTGGGTGACTGGGTGGGTGACAACAGAACCATATCGCTCCTTCCCAAACCTATAACCATCTCTAACTTAAAAATAACCCCAAAAACATCACCTCCAAATAAACTCGTCCTACAGGTTTGCCATCTTTTAGATTCTCCAAGAGGTACTTCTAGCTGTTTGTAGATGCTTGATAGAGATCTTGAGCCCATGCTGCATTGCCTTTGGCTTCTATCAAATGATTGGAATCCAATGATTGGTTGTTTCAGTTCAACCTGTGATTTATGCAATTATTCACATCATTTCAGTAGTCAAAACATCAAGCATTGCACCTTGCTTTGACTATCATCATCATCACCATCAGCTGTCAGTGGTAAAACCTCTGGATAACCTCCAGTTTCCAATTTCACAGGGGATTCATGTGCAATTAGGAAAACTCATCAGTGTACCCTACAACATTATTAATACCTTTTCCTCACCCTCAACCATGGAAATAACCCCTTGGAAATAACCATTAATATTAATATACACATACATTTTGACTTCATAAATATTAAATAATTTTTCTCTTATACAACTATAATAATAAGTTGGTGCAATTGTTTAATGCTGTGTGGTATAGTTGAATAATTAGACTTAGTTGATGGTAACATTCACAACACATGGTACAGTTCCTTTTGTTTTTTATTTCAATTCTCATGTTCGGCTAGAGTTCTTCAATAAAAATCTTAGGGATGATGTGTATTATTGATTCAATCACTTTATAGTGATTATTATCTATCATTCTTGGGATGATGCTTGGTGTTTACATGAGTTTCCTATATGCCTCAAAGGGATGTTATTACAATAGTATAATAATTTAAGTGTACCCACTCATGTGAATTAGAATGTTCTCTTGGAAGTCTTCACGCATTTGGATATGTTGACAATTGTGATAATGCCTTTCAATAATTGTATTGTTTTCATCAGGGGCCAACTGAGTTAGTGATGATCTAAACGAATCAAATTAGGAATGTTGTGGCTAGCACTTTATTAACATCTTGTGGGATTTATGCATGCACTTGCTCCAACCACCTTTGACAATACTCTTCGATTAGTATAATATTATGAGATATCACCTCTTCCATTTCTTGTTACATGTCCTTCAACTCCATTTCTTATGGGAGATTGTCATATTCCGATGGAAATTGATGCTACTCTTACTGTGTTCAAGGATAAGAGTGAAGATATGGTTGTGGCCTTAATGTCCTTTACTGAGTGCATGATGAGATTGGTTATACATATTAATATTGTTGGCATTTTCCAGATTAGTGTCTTCTATTAGGTTGTATATAAGTGGGATAATAATGGCACTATAACTCCGAATATTGTCCACTTGCAAAGTACAAAATGAACAACTTAGTGTTAATCTATTTTCTCAATCTTATAATACATAGTTTGTTTAAGGGGTTCTTTGCTTTGTGGAAGGGATTGTATTAAGTGTTGGGGCAAGTTGGACTACAAATTTATAATGTTTAATATAATGTTTAACAAGCCGATCCTTTTGAAATTGTGCATGTACAATAGTTGAAATGATTCATATAAAGAGATCAAGAATAATTAACACCACCTACAAATCCACTAATGCCTCCTTCTAATGTTCCTTTAGATCTTGGCTTATGTACTAGGGAATTCTGATTGCCCTATATCCTTCCGAGAGGAGGGGATATAAGTGTATAGCTATAATGTTGTATACTAATATTAGTGTAGTGGGATTTTGATAGCCATTTTGTTTATTTCAATCTGGACCACTCACTTTTATATATAATCTAGTGTTTTTAGGCTAATGGATATGCACATATTTGTATTTTTTTTCCTTATTCCATGCATTCATAATATTATAGTAATAATTGGTACACAAAATGTTTGTTTTGTTTAATAGTTATTAATTAATTAATTTAATTATTTATAATTATAAATATGTTTGTAATTTATACATCAGATGGTAGAATAAACTAGAATATACTAAGAAGTGTTAGAAAAGTTTATAAATTACAAACATATTTATAAATATAAATACAAAATTAATCTAAATGAATAACAACCATTAAATAATAAAATATTCTAAAATATTCAAACATATTTTACGTATATCCACTATAATCCACAGGTTTGCTTAAGCAAACCAAAATATTATTTATAAATATATTGAAGCTCTTGTGGAGTTCAAAAATCTCTTCTAACACAGAGTGATGAGTTACCTCTTCTCCCTCCTTGGTGAAGTTTCCACAGCATATATCAAAAACCTCCCGTCCCTGGTTCCCACCAAGAAACAATCCTCAGGCGTCACGCACAGGCTCACAATCGGCGAGCCAGCCGCATCGTAGCGATGGACGAGCTCCAGCGAGTGGAGCTTGCGCACTGTAACGTATCCCTGGTCGCCTCCACACACCACGAACTCGCCACAGCTGCTCAGCTCCATGCAGCTCAAGCGCCCGTTTAGTTCCGCGCTGGCAAGGTGCTTGCCGTTCACTGAGAATGAGTGAAAGTTGAGGTCCTTGTTGGAGAAGAGACCAACCAGACCGTGCGGAGACACCACTAGCAGAGATATTGATTTCCTGCTAGGATGAACCAGCGATCTGACGTATCTTCCCTGCCGGAGAGTGTAGAGGATGCAAGTCCCGTCCTCGGAGCCACTCACGACGAGGTCGAGTTCCGTCCGGACCACCACGCAAGTTACTGCATCGTCGTGGCCGCACAAAACGTGGCGAGGCTTGTCTGAGACGGCGAGCTTGCTGTCTGAGCGCTTGATCCTGTTGGAAGATAGCTGAGTTTCCCATACCATCACTGTTGTATCACGGCTGCCGGTGACGACAATGCTGCCATCTGCTGCAACTGCATGTCATAAAAAAGACGGTCAGAAGCCAAAACTTTAGTGTGGTAAGAAAAGCTTACGCACCCGAAGCACACGTTACGACATCCTTGTGTTGACACAGGCTTTGAACGGTTTGGCCGTCGGTGAGCGACATGAGCTTGAAACTGTTGTCCCAATGGCCGCAGCTTAACAAGTAGACCGTAGATATTGCAGGCAACGCGCAGAAACAAAATGAGTCTGGAAAAGACTCGGTAAAATAGCCACGAACTTTGTGGCAAGGCCACTCTTCAGAGCCAAGTCCGTAAGTAGAATCCTGCACAGTACGAGCCTTTAATAAGTCTTGCATTCAAGTGGTTCTTAAAAACGAAGTACCTGGGAAGACGAAAACGTAAAGCTGCCACTGGGTGGCATGGAAGGCGTTAGCCACATTCGTGAGGACACAACCATCTGGCTGGTCACAGAGATGATCTTCCCGTCGCAATGCCCAATGTACAAGACAGGATGATCTTCATCTGACTTACCAAACGAGAGAGACCTCGATGGAATTGTGGACACAAGTGTTGTCGAGGCGGGAGAGTAGTATAAAGGGCGAAGAAGTGGTACTGGAGGGCCGCGTTTCGGATGTTTCTTCTTAAAAAGCTGGATAGGTGTTTGACCAAAATTTGCAATCTGGTCCTCCACTGATGCTCTTTGCCTTACATCTTCCATGGTTTCTAGCTCCACAGTGCCTTCATAAGTAAGATAGTAAAAGATATTTGCTGCCTGTTGCAACATTGTCTTGGTTAGTTCACGGCTACGCAAATATTTACCTCGACAGCAGGTTTTCCACGTTGCTTGTAGCCAAATATGAGGTCAATCCAACGGTGCAAGTTTTCACTAGTGTGCTCACTTTCAAGAGCTTCCCTGTTCAAGCGAATAAACTCTTCAGGAGATCCCTGGAAACAAATCAAAATATGTGATTGAAAGCGAATCAAGTCGAGGCTTACCTTGGCCCAAGGTGGTAAGATCACATTGTTAAGGTGTTGTCCGTCTTGCTTGACACCAATGTAGTAACTATTTGTATTTACAAGGAACTCAGGCATATAAAAGAACTCCGGTATTATCTCTTTCACATCACTTGTGTTGGTCAAGCAGTTGGCGTAAGTGTTTTGTATGCTATGGAACAATCTGTCCGCATGATCAAATTTTCCACCCTGTCATCAGTTTCACACTTTTTGAGTACGCATCCATTAACTCACAAACACGTACCTGAAGCGTACGATGGAAAGAAGAAAATGGTTCCAGTCGAAGAAGGTAGAACAGAACGATGCCCATACTCGAGTAATGTGAACCATAGTGGAAGCTGGACACAAAAGCGTTTTCAGATTATGTTTCATGGAGAATAAACAAACCTGGGAATGTCTGGATCAGTAAAGTTGTTGTACCGTTCTTCAAAGACCTGTTGAAAACGAATTATTACATACTGTTCTTAAGCACAAATGCAGGTACCTGAAAGCGTTTTTCATCGAGAGCACCAACGGGCTTTGCAAGATCTCGATAAACAGATGGACTGGAGAGATCCAATGCTTCAGAGGAATAGTCGGATAAGATCCACGGAAAGACTGGATATTGAGTCAAATCGTTGTATGATCTCCCGGATAACGTGTTCAGTATCATCAAGTAATCGAAGTTGCTGCACTCTCGCCGCCTCCAGCAGTCACGAGCTTTCTCTGCTAGATCAATAGCTCTTTTTCTGTCCACATAGTGAATCTGGTGCTTTGTCTTTCCCTTTGATCCCACATGTTTGCTGGAAGTTATCGTAAGTGCTACATCCTTCGCAACTCGATGAGATGCAAAGTTAAGAAACACGGGAGGAGCGGCATCAGCGAAAAATATCTCCAATGCAGTATGTTGCAGCAAATATCTAGTCGCATAGATTGCTGTGACCTGCAATGACTTGAAAAATAAGAAACTGACAATGAATGTCAAATGACGAACCTGGAAAATGTCCCACGTTCTATGCTGCTTTTTTCCTAAACCAGGAGCTTTGTCACCGTCGCGGGTACCAGTTTGATCAGTATCCTGGTTCTGACGAGCAAATCCACCGGACGAATCGAAAACCATGGAACCGCCAGTTCCTTCAATAAAAAATTCCATATGAAAATGTAGAGACCTGTGAGTAACTTCCAATCGACCAGCAAGCTTGCGCTTCGGAGAAACGAGGACGCAAGACACTGACAAGAGCACCTGAAAGTGAAGAATGTTCAAAAAGGTGCCACGTACAATGTTAAATGACATACCTCATCTTCCGCAGCTCCTTGCTTCGATTCGGCCCCGTCAGCTTCACTCGTGCTGCTACTTTCTGCTTCGGATTCGTTGCTGACAAACTCATCGTTAGCATCCTGCATCTCATCTTCGACTTCCTCGGATTCTTTCTCCAGTTTAAAAGACGCTGCCTTCCGAAAGCTGACTTTTTCACGTGAGAGAACCTTGGGTGCGCTCTGAGAGCCAACACCCTCCGTTGACGCTGCCGGCTGCAGAAGCTCCTGATCAAAGTGATAGTTGCGTTTTAGCTTCAGCCGGCGCCGCAAAGGATCTTCCGTCTTGTCAAGTTTCCACCACACGAGCGTATCCGATGGAAAAGTTGTCGAGGACCAGGGGCCTCTTTCATCAGTCAGATTCCGGAAGATTAAGCACCATTGGCTCTGCATGGAACAGATGGCGAACTTAGCACCACAACAGCACTGGAATGAAAAGAACTTACAGCCACGGCCTGCTCTTCTGCATCTTCCTTCAATTGATATGCTGCTCGTCTGGATAGCTCTGAATTATGAATGGAGTTCAAGACGGTTAGAGATTGTTCCTCTAGAGCTTTTGATTCACGTAATTCAAGACTACGAGTGTCATTTGTTTCGGCATTCAATGTCTCGACCGCAGAAACCCACTTACGCTTAGCTGCCCTCAGAAACTTCTTATCATCTCTCACCTGAAACATAGAGGTTACAAAAGAAAACTAAAGTACGAAAGTACGCACCAGAGCTTTGACTTTATCTTGCTGTAAAAAGCTGTAAGGATCGTTCTTCATCGTTTCTTCTGTACGCTTTTCCTTATCAACCAAACCGATAACCTTCCCAATTTCAATAAGTTCCTCAATCAACTGAGACAGCACATGAGACCTTGTTCCGTCGTCCATCTTTTCCACTTGACTTCGTGCGTCGAGTAAGCACCTTGTAAAGACAACAACACAAGGTGTTGGGATTATATCGAGATTATTCAACGAGCCTTACCATATTGTAAGATAAAGTTGGCCTTTGTTTTGATCCGAGTCTGAAGAGAGGAAGCCGGGAACAAGAGGTAGGAACTGTTGAACTGACAGTAACACAGCCTCAAGACCAGCTCGGTAGAGGTAAACCAGCACAAGCCTGAATGCAAGTCTTGGAAACTTCTCCCCTCGTAGCTTCATGGCTTTCTCATTCGGCTTAGAAGATGGAACGTTAATCCCAACAGACCCCAGCCCTCCAGTCACGACAGCAGCAACTTCAGCAGCTGGTAAATTCAAAGACTCAACAAGGCCACGGGCTCGTTGGCCAAATGTTGGTCCTGCTGTGGAAGTTGAAGCTCCTCCTTGTCCAATTCCGTTGATAGCCGATAAAAGGTCCCAGACTTGATCGTATAGGCGCTGGTTAAATCCGCTTGACTCGCTTTGATAAGTAATTCTTGGAGAGTTCTTCCTGCAAAAGCATTTCCCGAATAAAAACGTAAACCAGAATTTTGCACAGGTAAATACCTCTTATCCACAAGACCTTCCTCTACGGTTTCGGACCCCAAATCCACGTAGCTCCCAGACAACAGGCCGTTGTCTTCAGACTCCTCCGCCAGAGAATTTAAAAACTGCACAATTAAAAACATTAGCAACATCAATACGTGAAAAGTCGAAGGGAATAAAGCTTTTACTGGGAGATATTGGATTGCATCCGCAACCACTAGCTCTTCAATCAAGGCGAGGAGATAGAGCAAATTGTCACGACAGGGCTGTAACGTCAATAGCGATCGAGAGTTAGAAATTTCGCTCACGATGTCACCAAGTAAATCGTGAAGAAAGCTCTGAAAAGGCAAGAAAAAGTAAGCTTGCAGTGCGATTTTATGAGAACAACAAACCTGTTCGGTGTACTTAAGAACGTAAACAGTCATGCGTTCTACTTGGCGCCAGCCACCTTTTGTGTTAAATACAGCATGGACTTGCAGAGCACAGAATATTTTTCTGATTAGCAACACCTCATCCGCCCACCGTTTTGAGTCTTGATCTTCTTTCTGCTTTCTGGAAGATGCACTTGAAAATACTGCAAAAAGCCAATCCTGCCACCCCGGTTCCTGATAATAACCACCTCAGAGCAGAACACAACACCGAGCATAATTTCTTACCTGTAAGAGTACACCGCAGTTTGCCGGATTCGTTTGAATAAGAGCAAGTATGTCTTTAAGAACATCCTGCCTTGACGTCCAATCGTCCGAGGCCTCTACGAATTTTAAAAGAACTCCTAAAACTTGAGGTAAGAAAAATTCTGGGAAGGTAGCTGTATGTGCGGGATTGCCAGCGGCTTGTAGCTGTCGTAACCAAGCTCTTTTTCCAGAACTCTTTCCAAACTGCGTAAGAATGCCGCCATGGAGAACCTGCAATGCAAATATAAGAAACAAATGGAGGTCTCAAAATCATTTTCACGTACTTGTTTAGGAATGGCTGCTCCGAGAAGGAGGTCAAACAAAGTCACTCGCAGAGAATCCGTGAAGGGAAACTGCAACAGGCGCTCTTTTATTATAGACCAGACTAAGTCCTTTTGTCTGCTTATGACTGTATCGCCCTGTCCCTTATTACCGCCAATCCCAAAGAGCCATATTGATTTTCTTTCTACAGGTATGGCGAGGAAAAGTGATCCCAAAACATGCAAAGCGAGCAGCCTGATCACTTCCTGCCGCCTGCAAGACATGATTCACGTTTCTGTAATTTTCGGAGTCATCATTACCTCGACAATAAGTTGAGAAAGATGTGAATTCCACCCAAGGAGTGAACGCATTCCAAGAAGCTTGATAGGAAAATAGGCTCGCCTAAAAGACCCAACAGCATCTGAAGAACTTCCTCAACGCAGATTAAGTCGTCATTACGGTCAATAAAAGAGATTAAAGACTTAGCATCTGACAAACTCATATGATTTCTGGAAAAGTAAGAAGTTAGAGCCAGAAACTTAAGAATACTCGAGTACCTTATTGCAGTTTCTGCTAAAGAAAGTATGAGGATTCGAAGCTGCGATAATTCTTCTTGACGAGGACGGTCTCTGGTTCCAACTGTCTTGGACATCTTACGATGCTTCGGTTTGTCCCAATAGAACTGATGAAGCATGTCAAGAAATCTGGAAACGCCACAAACATTGTCGTACTTCCGATTCTCCAAAAAGTTGATCAGTGATAGAAATAACTCGCGTTGAATGACATACGGAGCATAAATCCATGCAGATGGATTCAAGTAAACTTTGAGTACAGTTTCCCTCACGAGCAGGTCCGAAAGTGCGTTATCTGCGGTGAAAAGAGACAGAAATCAGGAATACACACAATTAAACATATCTTACCAGCTGTTTCAGAAAGAACACACAGTAAATTGTTGAGAGCAGTGATAACTTTGACCGATAATTGTTTGATGGACACAAACTGTAGTAGATACCCGAGAAGGCCGAGGCCCCCAGTGCTATGGAGGACCTTTTGATTAACGTAGTTCTTCGTTGCGACTGCTGTCAATAGCTCGATCACATCCGCTAAATAATAGTCGTCTGCATCAGTAACAGATCCATCGAAATCTTTCCCGGCGTGCCGGAATCGCGTTAACAACGGGAAAAAGACCGTGATGCCACCAACACAGTGTATATTATTCTGCACAAGGCACCTGTAGCAAAGCTGCGTACCACTCATGATCGTAGCTTCATGAGATACAGCGTCAGACTGCTCTGACACTGGTGCGACATCAAAAAGGACGCGTCCACTGCTGGCCTACAGCAAAAGTACCATGAATTTCAGAAAGAAATGAAATACTTATACGTACTAGCGCATTGTAACCGAATATCATTTTAGAAGATAGACCCTCCTTGGAACTGGACAAGCTGCTATCGGACATGTTCGCTGGAATGCAGCCAGCCTCGCTGGGGAGGAAGGAGTACATGTAACCCGCACCAAGCATAAACACACCTTCAACTTGCCCAGGAGTTAACACATCGTCAAATAGATACACTGGACCAAGCTGTCCACATAATGGCGAAAAGAAACCACTCGATTGGTCTGCAGTCGCATTTGCTCCAATTGTACAACAACTTACTGGATCATAAACTTTCGGGTACCTGAACGTGTAATAGTTAGTTGAATGACAAGATAACGCTAGCACGAACCTCAGCTTTTCACTGCTACTGAGTTTGCCGTCGACGAAAATTTTACACAAGCTTCCAGTAGACAGAGCTCGTCCAGTTGTGTGCGTGACACAAATGAAGTGCCATTTCTTTGATTCCAGTCTTATACTCATCGAAGTTGCTTGTTTCTTGTGGTTGGCACAATCGACCTGCATGGATAGCCAAAGTCAGAAACACGAGAATCGCAACACTGAACAGAGAAAGAACCTCTATCAAGAACTTGTCCGCCGATATGAACGCAGCACAGCCTTTACCATCGCTAGTTAAAAAGCTAAACAAACTCATCATGCCTTCCGAAGAGGCACTTTCTAGCCTGATCCAGCACATAAAACTGAAGCCTTTGTTGGTAGGCCACCGGAAAGGCGTTTTGATGCCAATACCCTGAAAAATGCGATACTGTTAAAAATTACAAATCCAGATTTCGAAATTAAAACTCACCGAATTCTTTCCATTTAGCTCAAAAAAGACAGATGGTCCCTGCTCGTTTAACATTGACTTGAAAGTGCTCAAAATGAGGCTATTTTTTGAGCTCGAAGTGCTCCGAAGAAGAGAAAACATCCTTCGCATTTCCTTTCCTGCCATACTGTGACCACCAACCAATTTGATAAAGTGGCAGAGCTTGTGAAGAACCACGCTCTCGTTCTCCGAAGAAAACCAATCCATCAAACTGCAAAGCAGGCCTGCTCTCACGCAAGAAGATTGGTTTGCGGTGGATTCCTCTAATAACTGGAGAAAGGTGTCCAGGGCTTTTAGCTGCGTTTCGGGATCACACTGCACATGTAAAGAAAACATCTTAGCCAAAAAAATTCTGTGATGAGATTATTACCAGATGAATAAAGTTAAGAAGCAGGACAATTACATCTTCATTCTGCATTGAAATAGTTGGACGTGAGTCTTTGCTAGCAGTTACAAGGCAGTCACCTGAATAATCATGCGAGATGAATTGTCAAATGTGCCATCAACTAGCATATTCCAAAGCGCGTTAAGGAGGTCCTGAGTTGGATGTCCATAACGATTAACTAAAAGGGTCTCCAACATCTTGTAGCCTGGACCAACAAGGGATCTAAAAGCAAGCTGAAACAGGAACAGCAAATTCATTGCAGGTAAAAATGTAGCTTTCGTATACCTTTGAAGACTCATTTCCCTTGAGAAGATGAATGAGAGTTGCTATCACCTCTAAACACAAACGCTTTCCATGTTCTTCGGGATAAGCTTCATTCAGCAGAGAAACGATATGCACAAAGCACTCTACTTCTCTAAAAAGCGCTTGATAGTACTGCACAAAAAGAAAACGGCGGATAAATAGAGTTTCAGCGAAATTTTACTCACTGGAAAATCGCATTGAAGAACATCCCGAAGAATCGATAACAGATCCAAAACAATATCGATTCCGGCTGAATGTTGATCCGATTGCACGCGAGACAGTGTTTCCAGATATTTCATACACAGTTCCATTTTTGCATCCTGGTCCTCATCTGAGATCGGGGCGACCTGCAAAATGGAAGCTTAGAAAACTCATAAAAGAATGAAAAACAGGTCACCTTCATAAAATTGCTGACATGATGAATAGCGAAAGTTCTTGACCGAGAGTCCAAAATCATACCGAACAAAACGTCCATGAGTTTCGTACTCCTCAGTGCCGAAGACTTGGCATCGTCGGATAAGCTCAAGCACTCGTTGAAGAGTGAGAAAGCAGCGTCTCGACAGTGCAACAAATTTTCCATGTCGCCAACATCAAGCCTTAGATCTTGCAACAATGCCGCCATGACTTCTGATAGAACCAAGATAACTTGCAGTTCCTTAAAGGACGACGATGTAAGCTCCGGTGTCAATTGCAAAATTCGATGCAAGCTTTTCAGTAACATCGTGGCCATGGAGGGCAGCTTCGAACACTGCTCTAGACTCTGAACAAGTGCGTTGCACTCTGCCTACACAAACAAAGGGAAGGAAATTAGTAAACAGAAGAAAAGAAAAACCGAGAAGCCACTTTACCAGATTATTGGAGTTTCCACTGGTGGTCGCCGCGAGCTCCACAAAGGATATCACTTCAAGCTGTAAAGGCTGTGTCTCAAGGCTCTCCTTTCCCTCCAATCCGAAATAAAAAAAGTCATTCGAAAACATGACCGTCCAAACACCTTCATCTCGAAAGAGTTGCAAAACCGCGGGAGAGACCGCTAGCATTTTCTTAAACACGGTGATGATGTTACGCTGCAAGTCGCTAGAGAGCAACCTGCACATCGTTCAAGTTTAGTCAGTCACCATCTAAAATGTTACGCAAACAACATTTTGAAATGCTGAAACCCCTCATCGTTGTCGTCTAAGTTTCTGAAAATCCCGAGCAAAACGTTCACAACCAGCCTAGTGGCGTTTTCCCAGTAGACGCTTGTCACCCCTGACGTCTCTTGGGATGCTGGACCACTGAGAGAAAAGATATCCCAGGTTGCAATCACAAACGAGCAAAGAACCTCGCACAGACGAGAAACGTTGGAGTTCCAAGGGCCATAGTTGTCCTTAACATCTTCAATACCAAGAAAAAAACGATCTTTCTCCTTTTCCTGTGTAGTATTGCTTGATCTCGTAGACATTTCTGCCAAGTGCTCGGTACTGCGGGCATATAGAACCGGAAAGGAAAACGCGGCCCAGCGAAACAGTCGAATAAATTTGTGTAAGCCACCCATGTCGCAGACTGACTGCAAGCTGTTAACATTACGAAATCTGTTCAGAATTAAGGAGAACACAGAAAATGCTGCAACACTGTAAAGAGTAAAGGATACACGGCTTCCCTCGTAACCTCAAGTGATAGTACTTGCAAATTAAAACTCTCCACACGCTTTTGCAAGCTTCTGTAAATAACAATGAACAATGGTATTAGGAGGCGCGAGCAACGTCAACTTACCCTTCATCGCAAAAATATCCCAATCCATCCAGCAAAACTTCAAGTCCGCCGATGCTCCTGAAGTGATTCTGCGCGCGGGAACTTGATGAGACGGCGGCTTTAAGCGTTTGTAAAGTCACTCTTTCAAGATGCTCATCTGTGGCGAGATGAAGTTTTCGTAAAACTCGAAGGAGCTCTGCACACGAATAACCAGAATAATAAGTGGAAAAGCATAACATTTAGCAGAACATACCCACAAACCAGTTAAGACCGCCGGTTTCGAGCAGCAAGGCAAAGCTGGTATTTTCTCCACTTGTTTGTGATGGTCTTTCGCGAAAAGACAGCCTGCGTCTGGGAGGATCCTCGGCATTCTCTTTTAGACCAAGCGACGATCTTCTGCTTGATTTGTCGGGCAGCTTCTCGAGCTCAATAAAATTGGCCATAATAGATACGACATGCGCAAGCAAGCACTGTAAAAAGCTCATCAACACCATGTTTGGAGTCGCGGTACCAAAGATGCTCTTAAGATAAACCACCGAATCTGAAAAATCGCAAGATCAGTATGCTTCCAACACAGATAACGTAATCATACTTTTCATAAGGCTCGTCAAAGTTTGCAAGCCTCCGAAAGTGCTGAACACCGCCCGATTATTTGATGCTCGGCTGAGAATGCTGAGAGCATTTAGCAAGCGCAAGGCAGATTCCATCTCGTTCGTGGCTAGAACCGGTTCTTTCGAGTCGGAGCTGGCATGCACTGCAATCGAGCCGATAAACTGCAAATGAGCAAGGAAGACGGAGCTAATTACCATATCTCAAACACAGTATGCTCAAACCAAACAAAACATACATACACATTTGCTCATACAGAGAAGCAAGCCAAACGGCAAGAAGAAGTGAAAGGAATCGACCACTTACACTCTCCAATGTAGTCACTCGTAAGCTTTAGCTCTCGGAGAAGGCCAAGGATGACAGCGGTCGGGTGACCAAAAGAGCATCCAGTAACTCCAGTTTGATCCATTTTGCCGTCTCCACTTTGGTGTTCTTCCAGGGGAACCCAGCGCTCATACACGTCGTTAAACTTGCGAAGAAAGGCCTCGAGCGAGCTCCTCCTCTTGTCCTGCGAGGAAGAGAAGAAGGATCACTGGATAAGAACTTCTCCTCTCATTTCTATCACGTACCTCGCTGGATAAATTCTCGTATTCCTGCCACAAGTGATGGAGCGATTCCTCCGCGCCATGGTCACTGCTCCACAGCAAATTCCAATCCGATTCTATCCAAATCCAAATATGCCGAAGCTCGGATCTTCGTACCTGAACTGGACATCGATCCAAGTCGCGGATGTCGTCGACGAAGCTGCGATCGAAGAAGAACTCCCCGGCGCTGCCGATCCGGACGACCTGCGAAGAAATCCCTTGACGAAATTCATCTAGATCCACGCTCCAAGCCGCTCCTCCTTTGCAGGGAGGAGGAGAGGAGCTCGCGTTGCTAGGGTTCCAAGAACCCTAGAATGTTGTAGAGCAGCACATATGGCGCCGAGCTCTCGGAATTGAGCGTCACAGAATCGACGCCAGCAGCCACGGCCCTGTGCCAATCGCCATGAACAGCGCAAGCGCCGACGAGCGTGATCCAAGCCAATCCATCCGGCACGAACGGCATCACTCGCATCAGCGCCTCGGCATTCTCCAGCTCCCCGGATCGTCCCAGGGCATCCACCAAGCACGCGAAATGGCTCAATCCTGGCAAATACCCATAATCGATCTGGAGGGCGAGGAAGTAGTCCCGGGCCAGCGATTTCTTGCCGCCATGGCTGCAAGCGCTCAGCACGCTCACGAATGTGATCGCGTCGGGATAGATTCCCTCGACGTTCATCGCCAGGAAGAACCCTAGCGCCTCGGCCGTGTGCCCAGTCTGGGCAAATGCTGCCACCATAGCCGTCCAGGAGACCTCGTTCCTCTCCTCCATGGCCAAGAACACCGCCCTCGCCTCCTCGATTCCACCGGATTTCCCGTAGAGATTGATGAGCGCCGTCCCCAGCGCTAGATCGGGCACAATCCCGGCCTCCAGCATATTTCGATGGATGATCTTCCACTCAGCGCTCGACGAGCACGCATCCACGATCGCCGAGAGCGCCTTGCAATCCGGCTGCACGCCATCCAGATCCATCCTCGCGAAGAGCTCCAGCGCATCCTTGTTCTGCCCGCTCTGCGCGTGCGCGGCCACCATCGCCGTGACCAGGATCAAATCCGGCGCCCTGGAGCTCGAGCTCGCGAGGAAGATCTTGCCCGCCTCCTCCGCGCGACCAAATCGCCCATACATTCTCACCAGGCACGTCGCGACCGCGATCTCCTGCTCGCATCCGAGCTCCACGATCTTGGCGTGGATTTTCCTCCCGGATTCCAGATCGCCGCAGGTGTCCAGCGCTCCGGCAAAGGTAATCGCGTTGGGCTCGATCTTCTCCTCTTCCATCCTCTCCAGGACCTGGAGCTCGGCGGTATCGAGCGCGTTCTGGGCATAGGCCGCGACGATCGCGTTCCAGGACACGACATTCCTCTCGGGCATGGAAGCAAAGCTCGCTTTCGCGCGTTCGATTTGCCCGCTCTGGGCAAATGCCGCGAGCATCGCGTTCCATGACACCACATCATGCCGTGGCATTCGAGCGAACAAAACCCTAGAGCTCTCGCAATCGCCACTTTGCGAGAAGGCAGTGAGCATCTCATTCCAGGTCACGACGTCTCTCTTGGGCGCCGTGCGAAACAAAAGATTCGCATCGGCGAGACGCCCATTCCGGGTATATGCCGCGATCAGGATGTTCCATGAGAAGACGTTGCGATCACGGAGGTTGTCAAAGACCGATCGAGCGTCGCCAGGGCTCCCGCAGCTCCCATACATTTGGATCAGAGCATTGCCGAGGAATGTTGATTGGTCAGATCCATCGCTCGCGGCCAGCGCGTGGAGCTGCTTCCCTCGATCCAGCGACTTCGAATTGCCGCACTGGCGAAGGAGATCTGCGCAGAGATTGTGATCGATCTTTGGTGCTCTCCTCCATTTCTGGGTCTGGATCTTGCTCTTGACCATGCATTCTCCGATCAAATGAGTTTTAGTGGCTCCAATCTAAAAGCCATGGCAGCGATCCTTTGGATCTTCTCTTCTTTTTCTTGGATGGTTGCTTGGATTCTTTCGTTGGTTGCTTGGATTTCTTGTAAGAAGGATGGATTCTTTCAATCCAGAATAAGAATCAAACACCGATTTTTCGCCTGCTCTTTGAGAAGAACTGTCCAATAGATTTGATACCTCTTTGGCATGATCTTAAACGTTTTCATAAGTTGATCAATAGTTCTAGCTCCAGCGTACACAGTGAAAGTTGTTTAGTAACAGTACTGTTCTTGGTGGGCATTCCATCAATCAAAATTTTTAGTTTCTCCAGATCCCTTGAAAGGGCATTTGCCTAACTCTTAAAGTCTGGGGAAATATGAACGTTTTTTGGCGAAGCTGTCAAATATCTGGAGTCGTAATCATCTGGAAAACATCTGGATGACGAAAATCGCAAGGAAGAGCTGCAAATTTGTCGAAGAGTAATCGTGTCTGCGATCGACCATGGCGAGGATGGGCATGGCTTGTGAGAAAGGCAGGACGCTAGGCAATGTTGCGAGCCAAGTTGGAGTTTTCTAGCATAGACTACTTGCTTGGTTTGCTTCCTTTTTGTTGGTTATTTAGGGCATTTATTTTGGAGAGTGTTCTTCGAGTCCAGGGCGCGGCTATGGCAGCGGCCGAGGCGCAGCAGCAGCAATGGCAGCAGCAATTTGGCAGCCATCATCATCCCATGACGCTGGAGGAGGTGAGAACGCTGTGGATTGGCGATCTCCAGTACTGGATGGACGAAAATTACCTCCGCAATCTCTTCGCACACACCGGAGAGGTAAGATTTTCTTCTTTCGTCCTTCTATGAATGCTCTTCGGGTTCTTGCTTTCGAGTAAGCTGATCTTCTTTTCTACTTCAAAAATTTGCTGTATGAGAGTTTTCTTCTATGGATTCGTGAATCCTGTAAGTGCTAGTGAGCTGATCTGCTTCAAAAAATTGCTGTGAGTTTTGTATGCTCGTCCTAGATTTTTTATTTTTTTCTATGAATTCGTGAATCCTGGAAGTTCTAGTGAGCTGATCTTCTCTACAGGTTTTATCAGCTAAAGTTATACGCAACAAGCAAACTGGTTATCCCGAAGGATACGGATTCATCGAGTTCAACTCTCACCCGGCTGCCGAGCGAGTTCTTCTGGCTTACAACGGAACACAGATGCCACAAACCGAGCAAGCTTTTCGCTTGAACTGGGCCTCGTTTGGCATGGGCGAGAAACGCATGGATGGAGGTCCCGAGCTCTCCATCTTTGTGGGAGACCTGGCACCCGATGTTACGGACTACATGCTCCACGAAACCTTCCGGACCCGGTTTCCATCAGTGAGAGGAGCAAAGGTGGTCATTGATGCAGTCACAGGCCGCTCCAAAGGATACGGCTTCGTGAGATTTGCCGACGAGAACGAGCGAGCTCGTGCCATGTCCGAGATGAATGGAGTTTACTGCTCGAGTCGGCCGATGCGTATAAGTGCCGCGACTCCCAAGAAAGCTATGGCTGCTGGTCTCACTACTGTTACTGCTGCTACGATTGTCCCGCAGCCAACGATCGCATCACCGTTCAAAGGTAACAGCTTCATGGTAAACTACGCATGCTCTTTCCAGTTTTCTCTTTCTTTTTCTTTTCTGGTTTTGACTGATGTATCTTGCTCACGAACCTTAGCTTAGTCTGTTCTAGGTGCGTCAGTGGTGGCTTTTTCAATTTCGGTGTTTCATCGGACACGGCTCTTCCATGATCAGTGGTTTTAAGGTGGTAGTGTGTCGATTTGTTCCTTCATTTTTCATATTTATATCTGGTTTCATCATCACTGGATTCTGGATTCTTTGATTGTATGTTGTTCTAAATCTTATTTTGCCTCGCAGCAGCGACTACGACGACTACACCAACGTATCAAACAATGCCTTACAGTATTACTCCGCCTCCTTCGTTATCCATTCAATCCCAAGTCCTACCTCCAGATAGCGATCCCACAAACACAACGGTGAGTTTATTTACTTTTCAGTTTTCTGGACCAACTTTCTGGTGCATTCGGCAGATCTTCGTTGGTGGCCTTGATCTCAATATCACTGAAGAGGAAGTGAAGCAAACGTTTTCTCAGATTGGAGAGCTCGTGTCTGTCAAGATACCTCCTGGTAAAGGCTGTGCGTTTGTTCAATACGCTCAGAGGTAACAAGCTCACCTTTGTTCTAGCATCTGATCCTCTTCTTTCACGTAGAAACTCTGCTGAAGATGCATTACAGCGGCTTCATGGTACTGTAATCGGTCAGCAAGCGATACGACTCTCATGGGGACGAAGCCCAACATCCACTAAGCAGGTATAAGTTTTTCTTGAGCTTCGATCATAGTCTAAGTCTCTATATATTATAAGCAGCAGGCTCCAACGTCACCTTGGGGAGACGCAGCACAAACACAATGGAATTCCTACTATGGCTACCAAGGATACGAAGGATACGCTTACACTCCTGGACAAGAGGGCTACAGCGCCTATTACACACCATATCACCAGGTAGTTCGTGTTCTTCGCTTGAGCTTATGTAACTTTGCAGCGATTTCTTCTCAGATCGATGGCCAGTATGACGAGATTTTCGATCCACTTGCTCCTCCAGACATTGACAGGTTTGAGAAATTCTTTCTTGATGGAGAAATGGTGTTTAAATTCTTCGTTTTTCGGATGGTGTTACAGGTTAAACGCCGCTTATATGTCCATGAGAGAGAGCGCATTGCTTGGTCGGCATCTCTGGCTAAGAACGTCCGACCAAGTCCAAACATTAGCTTAGAAAGAACCAGCAAACAAAATTTTGTGTAGTATATCATGTGTAAAGGTATTCTAGTTTGTGAATGAATGACAAAACCCTAAAGCACAGCAATGTGATGCGTGGATTCGCCGGCGGCATTGCGCGGACGATCTCCAGGAGCAGCAGCGCGTTTTGGATGCGTCAGGTCTTCAGCAGCATCGCAGCTGGATTCCCCGGCGGCATTGCGCGGCCGATGTGAGTCAAGACCTCTAGGAGCAGGATCGAGCATTTTGATCGAGAGATCGTACATGATCCGTTACGTTTGTTTCTTATTTCATGCGATTTTCAGGGAAGAGCGAGGATTGGATCAAGACAATGACGGATTTTTGGAGGGATCAATTGCAGTGGAGCGTGAATCGTGAGTCTTTCTTCGATATTCTTCCGAAATATCCAGTGGAAATCGTGTCCAGGCGTGGAAAACACGATCATCGATCGCTCCTGGCGGGATTGATGGCTTGAAGGACCTCGAGCGTGGTAAGAGTTCATTTGGCAGCGATTACTTGTTCTCGCGTCTCTAGCAACAGGGATGCTCTCCAAGCGCGAGAACGTTCGTCGCGTGACGGCCCGCGTCTCCGCTGGGAACGATCGATTCAAGAGCTTGGAGAGAGGGATGGCACTACACTCTCAAGTTCTGGAGGCCGGGTATGACTCAAAACGTGTTCGTGTCCACGGCGGTGGTGGACACGCATGCCAAGTATGGGAGGCTGGGCGACGCTCGGAGGGCCTTTGACAGGATGGCTTTCCACGACACAGTGTCGTGGAATGCCGGTATGTGGAGCACGGGAAGAACGAGGAGGCTGTGGGGAGGTGTTTGAACAGATGGTGGCGGAAGGGTGTACACCGAACGAGACTACTCTTCTGGCTGCTCTCGAGGCATGCTCGGATCTGGCCGAGCGCGAGGAAGGAAAGAAGGTTGAAGGGAAAGTGCTGAAGGTGGGCTGTTTGGCTAGAGGTGCTGCCATCCACAGGGAAGCGGCAAGCGTTCGTTCTTCACAAACTGAGATACCTGGAAACTGAAGCTGTCAAGTTGTGTGACAAGACATCCGTGGCAAACACGCTGATTGATACCTACGCGAAATGTGGAAGGCTGGACGATGCTTGCAGAGTGTATGAGAAGATGGAGCTTCGTGACATTGTGTCCTGGACAGTGATGATTTTGAGGCAAGCAAAGGGGAGTCTGCTCTGGATTTCTTTTTCGAAATGCGTGCTGATACGTCGTGCAAACCAGATGCGCGAGTTTTAGCTGCTGCTTTCGTCGCCTGTGGCATTATAGTGAGGCCAGACATTGGACGTCAGATTCAGGGAGAGAGATACAGGCTTGGGCTTGAGAACGATGGGACCGTAACACCATGCCTGGTGGACTTCTATGGAAAGTGTGGGGACATGACTGCGGCCCAGTACATCTTTGATACCACGGCAATGACAAGAGAAATCGGTGCGTGGAATGCGTTGATAATGGGATATAGCCACCAGGGGAATGCAGTTCACGCAGTAGCAGTATTTCGAAGGCTGGCGGACGAAGGCTTATGTGCGACTGAGGCTACTCTGGTCTCGCTTCTCACGGCATTCAGTCATACTGGTCTTGTTGAAAAGGGGAAGAAGTGCTTTGAAGCGCTGCAAGACGCAAGCATGGCGTTGTTCCAAGTCTTCGGCACTACACTGGCATGATCGATCTGCTGGGAAGAGCCAACCATCTAGACGAAGCCGTGAAGGTGCTGGAAAGCATGCCTTCTCAAAGCGGACGCGGTAGCTTGGATGACCGTTTTGGGTGCCTGCGCAAAGTGGGAGAATGGTCAGGTGGGAAAATTCGCATTTGAGCCTTTTTCCGGGCTGGACAGAGACCGGGAAGTTTAAGTAGGGTTCCAAAGTGGCAACGAATGGCAGCGTCTTCATTCGCTTCTCTTCATCATGCTCTGGGCGAAAGATGTAAGCTACTTTTCTGTGGTTTTGACGCAGGCGCTTGATCCCGTTTCTTGTTTCGTTTCAGCCAAAGTTGCAGCGACGTTGGGTCCTTGCTGAGAGCACTGAAGGAGTGCACCAGAACAGGAGATATTGAAGCTGGGAGACAGTATCATGAAGATGCTGCAAAACGTGGATTCAGTTCAAACATTTTCGTGGCAACCACCTTGGTAGATATGTATGCCAAATGCGGGAGCATGCCGGATGCTCAGAAAGTCTTCGACCTCATGCCCGTCCGCGATGCTGTACCTTGGAACGCATTGATTCTCGGATACTTCGAGAACGGGGATAGTGCGCTGGCTCTGCGAAGCTTTTCGGCCATGCAACGCAGCTCGAATGCCGCCCCGAACGCTAGAACTTTCACAGCTGCTCTGATGGCCTGCACCAAGCTCGCTGCAAGCGACGTGAGAAGCCGGGTCGATGGCAAACTCGTAAGCCTCAAGTATCTGGAAACAGGAAAGATTATACACTCTCAGGCCGTAGCAGTAGGGGTGGACTCACAACTTTACTTGGCAAGCACGCTGGTGGATATGTACGCCAAGTGTGGTAGCATGGACGACTCGCGGAAAGTTTTCGAAAGGATGCCGGTTCACAACGTCGTTTCCTGGACTTCACTGGTTCTCGGCTACGCAGAGAATGACGAGCCCGGCGTGGCTTTGGGACTCTTCTTTCGGATGCTCTCCTTGGGATATGAACCAGATGCTCGAGCCTTCGTGGCTGCATTGACGGCTTGTGCGAGTCTGGCAGAGAAAGAGCAAGGCATGGAAACGGATGGCAGGCTTTTGAAACTTGAAAGTCTCCAAAGAGGGATGGAGCTGCATTCTCTGGCTGTGAAGCTCAGCTGTTGGGAAAACATCTTCGTAGCAAGCACGCTGGTGTCAGTCTACGCCAACTGCGGGAGCCTGGCGGATGCTCGCATGGTTTTTGACCGTGTGCCTCGTCACGATGCGGTTCTAAGGACTGCAATGGTTCTCGGGTATGTAGAGAATGACGAAAACAAGCTTGCTATTGACCTGTTCTCGTGCATGCAGACAGGCAAACGGTCGTCGAATCCCGGGCTCTTCACGGCTGCACTTACGGCCTGTGCAAATCTGGCAACAGCTGAAGCTGGGAAACAAGTCTCCGAGAGGCCTGTAAAACTCAGCTGCTTGGAAAGTGTGATGTCTATCCACTCACAATCTGCAACAAGTGGATACGACTCGGAAATCTTCTTGGCAAACACACTGATCGATACTTACTCGAAGTGTGGGAGCATGGTGGATGCCCGTCGCGTTTTTGACAGCATGGTACGTTATGACATTGTGTCCTGGACGGCGCTCATACTTGGTTATGCAGACAATGGCGAGGAATTCCTGGCATTGGAAAACTTTTCGTGCTTAAGTTCTTCCGGCTGCTTTCCAGATGCTCGGGCGTTTGTTGCTGTTCTCGGGGCATGTGGAAGTGTTGTAGCATTGGAAACAGGGAGGAGGATCCAGGCGGATATCTACAGGCGAGGACTAGAAAATTACGACGCTGTTGCGAATGCTTTGGTGGATTTTTATGGTAAGTGTGGCTCCTTATTGCTTGCGGAGCATCTGTTTGACACCACAAGTTCTGACAAGGATTGCGTGCAGTGGAATGCTTTGCTGGTTGGATATGGCTACCAAGGAAATGCGGGCCGAGTGTTCGATTTGTTTGAGATAATGCAACGTGAAGGCGTGCCAGCAAATGGAATCACTTTCCTTTCCCTCTTAAACGCATGCAGTCACGCTGGTTTAGTAGACAAGGCCAAGTCTATCTTCGAGGAGATGCTGCCAAGGTACGGCGTAAGTCCAAATCCTCAGCACTATACGTGCCTGATTGATCTTCTGGGACGATCTAACCATCTAGATTGTGCAGTGGAGACTTTGAAGATAATGCCATTTGAAGCAGATGCTGTTACGTGGACGGCTATCCTTGCTGCGAGCAAGAAGTGGAAGAATATTCAGCTCGGAAGGCTGGCTTTTGAAACGCTGCTGACATTCGATGCAAGTGATGGTGCTGCTTATGCACTGATGGGAAATCTTTACGGGAGTTTAGGAAGGTGGGAGGATAAAAAGGGGGTTCTAGCCAAAATGAGAGAAGCAGGAGCTTGGAAAGAAGCAGGACAGAGTTGGTGGAATGACAGGGATGGTAAAGTTCACAGGTTCATGGCTCACGAGAGCTCACATCCGCAAATTAAAGAGATCAACGCAAAGCTGAAGAAGCTGGTAGGAGAGATGAAGGAACACGGTTATGTTACTGACGCCGGGAGTGCTGCACACAAGTTCTCGACCGATGAAAAGATGGAGAGCTCACTGTGTGGACACAGCGAGAGGCTCGCTATCGGCTGTGCTTTGATCAATTCGCCCCCAGGCAGTCCTATCCGGATCGGCAAAAACTTAAGAGTCTGTGACGACTGTCACAATGCCACTGCAATTATCTCAAGGATCGAGAAGAGGACGATCATTTGTAGAGACGGGGGGCGTTTCCATACGTTCGAGGATGGCAAGTGTTCCTGCGGTAACTTTTGGTGATTCCAACTAGTTTTCAGCACCGTTATAGATGTTCGATATGAGGACGCATGCAGCAGCATTTTCACCATCCAACTTGAGAAGGGATTGGCAAGCGAGCTCGCCAACGGCTCCGTTCTTCCGTTTCCAACAGGCACTCAGGACCGTCATCCAAGTTGCTTGGTCGGCTCGCTCAGGCATCTGTCCGAGAAGCTCAATAACTTCATCTAAGCGGTCTGCACGACCAAGAAGATCGATCATGCAGCTGTAATGCTGTGCCTCCACAGGTGCTCCAAATTCGTTCATCTGGAAAAACATCTTTCCTTTGTTGACGAGGCCGGCGTGACTGCAAGCTGAGAGTACGATTCTTCCCAGCCTAAATGTCGACTAATCTGCCGCTGGCTACCAATGCAGCAACGAGCATCTGGCGTGAACTTTCTGCGTCTAATGAGCTCAAGACCTTCTTGGATTTGCCGCCATCGACGTATCCAAGCAGCAACGCAGTCCAGGAAGCCGCATTTGGAGGCTCGATGGTATCGAGAACTTTTCGAGATTCGTCCAGGCTTCCACACCTAGCATACATGTCCACCAGACTGTTTGCTACGAAGGCCTCAGTGTGGCATCCGCTCGCAGGAAATCAAGCTTTCCGTCGACTCGTTGGCCAGAGAGCTGCGACATAAGTCCGAGCATTGGCGGAACCCATCCTCGAAAACAGCTGCAATGCGAGCTGCGCTTCTTCATTCTCTACGTAGCCGAGGATTAAAGAGTTCCAGAGAACAACGTCGGCGAGCATTGAGCAGGTTTCCGCAGTTTGTGAACATGTCAAGTACTCCAGTGGCCACGTACATGCTGCGGATGAGTCCCTGCTTGCCTGCTCTAGCGTGGAGCGGCATTCCTCTCTCCAGGGACTTAAGTTTTACGCGCTCACAATTTCGGCCGATTCAAGCTGGAGCAAGCCATGAACGCAGCAACGAAAGCGGGAGCATCCGGACAAGGAGCAAGAGCAGTCCAGGAGAGGAGATTATGGCTCTGTCCGATACTGGAACGCAGCCACTGCTCTGTGCCTGCAATTGGATTCGGGTTCCTATATCAAGGAGCAACTTCAAACTTGAAGAGGACGAAGTTTGCGGGGCCAGGCCATCAGCGCGGCGACGAAAGTTCGGGAGTCAGGAGACTGTTGCATCGACCAGAAGAGATCGACAGCGACATGGCTGTCACCATTCTGGACATATCCAACAAGCAGGGAGTTCCAAGAGACGATATCTTTGAAGTGGATGCTGTCAAAAACACTGCGAGCTTGGGACATGCTACCGCACTTGGCATACATGCTCATTATGCTGCTGAGACCACTTTCGACGGCATGCAACTGGAGCTTACTGCCAGTTGCTATGTCTCTGGAGCTGCCGCACGCCAGCAAGCCGCTTTGCTCCCGCGTTTTGCATCCGATCGCCGAGTATCCTCGGCAACAAGGGTCCTGCGAGACGTACTTTGTGCAAAAGAAAAAATCCAAGACGTTCCCATCAGAAAACTAGGCGACTGCTTTCAGGTAAACTACCTCTCTTCAGTATTATTCACTGAAAAAAATTTAAAGTACAAACTGCTATAGGACCTTTAAACTGCTAGAGGACCTTTACCAACAAAGGTGTAGCCATCTCACTCGAGAGTTTGAGAACTTCGGTGAGATCCACGGGATGGAGGGAGTCTGCCTGGAACTGGAACTCTTGCACCAGTCGAGCAGTCCAGAGGAGGACAGTGGCAAGGCCAAGAGCTCGTCCGGGACACACTCGCCGACCAGCTCCGAATGGAGCGAGACGTAAGTCGGTTCCTTTCACGTCGATGTCTTGCTCAAGGAATCTCTCCGGGTTAAATTTCTCAGGCTCGGACCAGATGGATGGATCGTGAGTGATGGACCACATGTTTACCATGGCTGTGGTGCCTGCAGGGATGTGGTGCCCAGCCAAGCTTACGTCGTGAATTGCCAGTCTTGCCCAAGAGAGCAAGGGACCCGGAGGATGCATTCTAAGAGTCTCCTTCACCACAGCTTGGAGGTACACCATTTTGTTGAGGTCGGATTCGGGAACTCTAGATTTTCCAGCCAAGCTAATGATCTCATCTCTCAACTTGCTCTGGATTTCAGGATGGAGGACGAGCTCTGCGACAATCCACTCGGTGAGAAGGGCAACGCTGTCAGTGCCTCGGAATATCATCTCCTGCGAAGCATTCGACATGTAAGCTGTGGAAACAAGAAACAAGAATAATGTCGGTTGCTTACCCAGAGAACAGCGATCATGTCGGCGTCGTCAAGCTTGTCCTCGCCATCCAAAGAGAGCAGCACATCAACAAAGTCCGGCTGTGCGGTCTTGACCTCCTGTTGGCGGTGATCATCAATAATCTTCTGAACAAAGCTCGTCACTCGAGGGACCAACACAGCACAGCGTTGGAGGATGTTCTGGGGATCGACTGTCTTGAGAGCTGGCAAGTGATCGGCCCAGTTGAACGCACCAAGCAGCTCGAAGCCTTCTCTCACCATCTCAGCGAGCTCAGCAGCGTCCTCAGAGCCGTCCTCGAACCTCCTGCCAAACACAGTCTGCATGATATTGTTGAGCGAAGCTCGCTGGAGAAAGTCCCGGACTCGGACAAGGCCGTGGTTTTCCGCTGCAAAGGTACTCATCGCTTTGATCATCCTGCTCGTCTCCTCCTGACGAGATGGTTCGTGAGCAGCAATCTGGCGTGGAGAGAAGAGATAGTTGGAGGCGATCCTTCGCAAGTTACGCCAGTAATCTCCATAGGGAGCAAAGCCGATTGCTCGTCCAAAAAGGAGCTGCTGAGCCGACTGCTTGAGGGGCCTGTCTGCGAACTCGGAGCTGTTGAGCAGCTCTCGTGCCACTTCCGGCTTGCTGGTGATGATCATCCTCGTGTTACCCAGGCTGAAGGCCATGAGCTCCTTCGCATGGTACTTCTCAGCAAGCTTGGCCAACTTTCGGTGAGCTTGGCCTCCCATCTCCGTGAGGACTCCAAGCACTGGCCATCCTCTGGGCCCCGGGATGGTCTGCTTCTTCCTCAGCGTCCTCCCCCATGCATTGCCACCGGGAACAAGCCAAGAAGCCAGGATCGCCGAGACGGCAGCTACAACCAGCATGGCCAGAGCAGCAGCGATAAGTCGCCATGCATGATCGTCGGCTTCAGCAAGCAAATGCCGCGGGAAGAAAGGCAGCAGAGTGAGGATCCACCAATCGAATCCAGAAGACGACCCCATGATGATCGAGTCGAGAATGCTTTGGGGAGGCAAGCCAGGGAGAAAAAGAGAGCCTGAGACACTGAGCTTGCTCCGGAGATGGTTCCGGTTTTATAGCGACGAGCAACGAGATTATCCAGAGCTGCATGCCTGGAAAAACTGTTGGCTGAGAACAAGAATCCCGGAAATGGTAAGTCTCTAAGGTAACAGAGCTTCTACTTTTGCTCTTGTGTGGTGAGCTTCTACATTTGCTTGTGTCGTGGATTTTACTGCGGTTGTTGTTCTAATACTTTTCCTCTCTTGCTTTGCTTCAGGCTTTATTCCAGGGAATTTACACAGTGATGATCACCAAAAGCGGAGCAACGTCGTATTGTTCGTGCCAGTCCGGTGAAAAGCGTTTCACAGCCGAGGAGGTCCGTAATGAACGCTCGTATATGCTTTCGTAAGCTGATCATATGTGTCGTCCTTGCTTGCTTTGCTAGGCGGCACAATGCAATCTAAGCGATGAATCTTTGCCGGGAGAAGGTTTTGTCTTGTTTGTCTGGAGATCTTCTCGTGTCTCAGCGAATCGTCGTCCAACTAGCTTACAGGGAGAACAGTTTTTTCTGTCTCAACCTCCAAAAAAATAACAGTTATTTAATAAATTGCTACGCGTTGCTTGGTTTGTTTAATATTAGTTTTATTATTACTTATTAATCCAATTGATCAGATAAAGTTTATAAATATAAACATGTTTGTAATTTATAAACACAAGATTAATCTTATTCCATAAGATAATAGAATATACTAGAAAGGGTTTTAAAAAGTTTATAAATTATAAACATGTTTATAAATTATAAATATAAAATTAATCTAAATGAATAACAACCGTTAGATGGTAGAATATTCTAAAATATCCAAGCATATTCTAGATATATCATTAAGCAAACCAAAAATAAAGAGGATCATTTTTGCGGTGAGCGTGGATCGAACACGCGACCTTTAGATCTTCAGTCTAACGCTCTCCCAACTGAGCTATCCCCGCTTTTATGATTAACTACTCAACCTACTAATTGTATTTTGAGCTTAGAGGGTTTTACAAGGGCAAAAAGAATTTTAGGGTTTATGAGAAGTTCTCGACGTGGCAGGAATTCCCCGAAATATTTCTACATGTCGATTGATCGGTCGCGGAATCTAGGGTTCTAAGATGAGCTGCTGCTCGATCCAGGCGCTTGGAACAGCAGCACCAGCAGCAGCCAGGTTTGATCTCCATTCTCATCGTGCTCGCCTGGAGCTCGTATTTCACACTCCATTCGATTTGCCGCCGGTAGCTCCTGTCCGGACATGCTCGCTAGGATTCTTCAAGAAGATCACATCGCTCGCCGGCGCTCCTGGAAATCCTTCTAAGCCGCGAGGGGAGTCGGGAAATCCGATAGAGTCCACTCCATTCACTGGCGCGGGCGGCGGCAGTGGCGGTAATCGGGGTAACAGCGGCAATGATTCTGGGTTCCAGGAACACGATGGATGGGATTTCTCGCTCCCTTCTGGGAGAGTTAGTTCTTCCATGGTGGAAGAAACACAGGAAGAGGAATCATCGTCCTCGGTCCCGGCAAGGATTAGAGCGTTCTACTGCGTAAATGTCGGTCCTGTTAGTGATGATCATGGGTGGAGAGCTTTCGCTAGGGAGGATGAACTGTGGGGGCCTTGTTTGCTTCCTTGCTTCGTCCAGGCTGATATCACGAGCCAGCTAGTGCGCCGGGGATGCTATGGTGATAGGAACACTTTGGTTTGGATCAAGGAAGAGGTGGAGAACTGGTATCGTCGACAGGGGTTTGGATTGGCCAAAGTGAGAGGCTTCACTGGATCCTCAACTGGAGTGTTATGCTGCAGGGTCAGCGAAGGAACCATCACTGACACTAGAGTTTCCTTCAAGGATGTGGAGGGTAATGCGATCCAGGGTCTAACTTCGAGAGAAACTATCTTTCGAGAGCTTCCACGAACTGTAAGTTCTTTCTCTCTTTTTGTTTTTCTTCTTGCGCTGGTTATTCATTCGTAGCTCGCTTCTTTTTTTTCTTTCTGTTGTTAGGTGATGGAAGGGATGCCTTACAACAGTAATGCGATCAAGCAAGCACTGCAAAGCTTGCGGCAGCTCCAACTTTTTGAAAAAGTAAACGTGGATGTCAGGAGGAATGATCTGGATGGAGTTTCGCTTCGATTCTTCATCCAAGAAAAACCGCAGGATGCGTGCGACTTCCAAACGGGATTGAGCTTCTTTTCTTCCGATTCTGGAAAGCCGATCCTGGTATTGTTTTTGAATCTCTCTTTTTTTGTGCTTGTCTAATTGGATGGCAGGCTTCGATTCGACCAGCTGGAACTCTGTCCGTAGAGCACCGAAACATTGCCGGGAAGAACAGAACTCTGCATGGATCTATCAACTCAAACGATCTTTTGCGTCCTCAAGTAAGGTCGCAATTTATTTCCGCAGGAGCCAACATCTAGCTGTGACAACAGGATGACTCTCAATTTAAGTTGGAGTATGCTCACCCGTATGTTGACGGCCCGAAAGACAAGATTTTTCGAGTCGGCTGTTACAATTCGAGGAAGCTGACGGCGGTTCTCTCGCATCCCACGAGTCGAGAGCAGACGCCTGTGGTTTGGGTGGACCATGCTGGGTTCAAAACAGGCATCACAGAGGTAAATCCATTGCGGAAACATGGTGCTTTTCTCACTATTTCCCTTGCAGAAACTTTCCAAAGGGAGCAAGCTAGTTTACGGGTTCGTGGTAGAAGAAGTGTCAACACGGGACGTTCTTGGACCGGTGCAAACGCTTGACGATCGAGACTTGTTAGCAGATGGTATCGATCGCGTCCCGTTTCTCAACGTCAAGATCACTCGAGACAACACTCGTCTCGTGCATCGTGCGCGAGTCGGGGCAATTGATACATTCCAGGCAAGGCGTTTATCATTTTAATATTTTGCCTCGCTCAAAGTTTCATGCTGCTCTCACTCTCACAGGTTGATCAAGGTGTCGGCCTTGGCAGCAAGACGACGTCGTTTTTCAACAAGCACCTCCTCTCGACGACGAGATTCTTGCCGCTGCCTTCCACTACTCCCGACTCCTTTCCGCTGGTGATTCTCCGAGCACGCTATGGTGGCATGTTGGGGATGGCTCCAAGCTATCTAGCTTTTGCAAATCCTCGCGCTTCAAACGCAAGCTGCTGGAGCTTTTTCGAGGTAATACCACCATTTCTTTCGTTCCTTCGCAGTAAAACTTCGTATGCTTTTGCTCGTCTCAAGCAGCTAATGGCCGAAGCGCGCGTTCCAATCCGGAGGCAGCACTACGCTTACAGTTATGTCGAGTCCTTCGCAGCTCTCGATCGAGGAGTAAGGTTTTGGAGGAACGAAGACACTGGGATCCTTTTGGGGCTGGGTGTAAAGGTGGGTGAGATTCGCGCGGAGTACGTGTTTGATTCGTCCACGAGGACGGGGTCTCTAAACGTCCAAATGGGAGACCGGGTTTGATATTCTCAGAATGCGCCACCCGCGATTCTTCCAATCCTCTTTTGTGTACGTTCAAAACGAGAAAATTAGTTGAGAGGATCTCAATTTGGCACACATTATTGCTATATAACAGTATCAATTGTGCTTTAATTTCTTGCAAAGTTCTCAATGCTCAAGATTATTTTTCTGCTTGCTTTTCTTCTTCTCTTGATAATCACCTGCCAGGGGTTGGCCCAGGCCGCCATGGTTTTAGGCTCGACAAACAGAGAAAGCGCTACTTTCATTCGTATCAACTTGCAGCACTATCGGCTGTGACTTATGCTACTCTCAGCCAAAGTGTAGATAATTTTGATCCAGACGTATGTGGTTTAGCTAGCTAGCGTTTACCTGTTTTGTCCACATATTTGTGCAGGATACCCGGGTTTTCCCTCAAAGGTACTTCGATGACTTGTCAAATTCGGTGGTATTTTCTATACCTATGTGGTGAAGGTCTTCAACTCTATCAAACATATACATTGGTAAACTTTACAAGTTTTGCTTGTTACTTTCATAAACTTTGCTTATAACTTTGTAGGATTTAGCTCGACAGTTTAAGGCAGGTGTGGTAACTTGAACACCATTACTATGGCTACAGTTTTCCATAAAAAAAACTTCAAATATTTGACCGTAGAGCAATCCTTGGCTGATCATATTTCATTGATGGCTTATTGCTGTCTGCATGATGCATTTATTGAATACTACCACGTGATTTACAAACGTTGCAAACTACCTAGAAACTGGTTGGTTCTTCTTTAGACATTTATAAATAAAAAATGCAATAAGCATGCAAACAACAAGTGGATTGTTATTGGGGGTTCATATTCTGGTGCTCTAAGTGCTTGGTTCAGGCTTAAACATCCTCACTTGGTTGTTGGTAGCTGGGCTAGTTCTGCAGTTGTGGATGCTATACTCGATTATAAAGCCTTTGATAAGCAGGTCTGTTTGTTTCTCTATTGACTAATTTGCTCAAATGAGATTTGATAATCCAGATAGGAATTTCTGCCGGCCTTGAATGCGCTCAAGCTTTGCGGAAGATCACTGACCTTGTTGAAATTGGCCTAAGAGAAACTGCCACTAACTTGAAATCCTTGTTTAGTGCACAAGAGGTACTTATTGATTACTAAGCAATTGCATTATTTTATTTTACAAAACAGTTGGAAGATGACGACTTTAGTTCTTTTATTGCTGATGGTGCAGCTTTTTCGGTATGAGAATTGTTTTTTTCTTTTGTTTATGCTAACACATTTTATCTTAACTAGATATTGTATGGACAGTCTGATATCCGTTGCTCCAATCTTCTAGATGCCAAGAATGACAATTTGAAACTGCTAGTGAGTCAAATCCGTTCATTTTCCTAGATATTAATCTTTTGTGGAGAAATGAGATTTGCAAATTTACGATAGATATTTATGATGTAAAAATTCTAAAAGAGAAGGCTTTAAAGATGGACATTAGTGATGCTGGATCATATCTAAGTTGGAATTATCAAATTTGAACACAGCTTGGTTTATTCCAAACTTATTGTGATGTTGGAGGGATCCATTCTAAACGCTTAAATATCCAGTAAGTTTATCTTTTTCTTGTTGATATCTTGTTCAATCAATTGAAATAACAAAACATAGTGTTAACATTAATTAGGAAAACTGTTTATAAATGTTCAATAATTTATGTATTTCCAATTCCAGGAAGGAGGACATACACATTTATAATTGTGATTGCATGGAAGATTTGCATAACAACCTGATGTTCCTGGTCCACAATATGCACCACAAACACATAATAATTTGGTGCACATCCCTGCAAGACAATCCATACCACTGTTACATTCAGAATTAGTGTTACAACTTTTTCCACATCCAGGCAATTGCTTAGCATGAATACAGATATGGTTAGTATTAATAATGGATGAAAGGAAAACTAGAAGAAAAAACACTCTCATTGCTAGCAATCTCATGTTTTGAAAACATAAGAACAAAGTCTTTTGTTTTACTAAATGCATTGTAAATAAAATTAATCAGTGTAGGACAATAACTAAAACAAAGATTATTGAGCTGTTATTTTGTTTTATAAATAAGATGTATTGCATTACAAGAAGGGAAAAACAAAATCTTGGTTTTACATCACTAGAAACAAAGTTTTTTCTTACATAATACTGTATTGTATTACATTTTATCACTGTAGACAAAATAAGACAGCTTGATGAGTAATTATTAATTTTTTGTATACTTATAAATGACACTTGTTGAATTACTTAAAAATAAGAAAAATCATTAATTTGAACATAAAACAACAAAACGTTAAAAAATACAATTAGAAAACTGAGCTCCTCTCATCATCTCTCATCTACATAATATAAATTAATATTTTTTAAAGTTTATAACAAGCAAAGTTTTTCAATTAAGTTGTTTAAATATTTTTTAAATTATATAATATATTTGCTATTGCTGATGCTGAATAAATTCAAGAAACTTACTAATGATATGGATCTTATTTATAAATAGAAATATATCATTATGACTTTAAATATTATTTAAAAAAAACTAGTTGCACCAAATTATTCATTTATTAATATTTATGATTGATCTTGGTTAACATAGATTAAAATCGTATTGAGGAGTAAATTGTTTTGGATCTAATTGAGCATATATGGAAAGGTGCTTTGAGCTCACTGGGGAGCTGTTTGTGCGAGGAACAAGAACTGTTTTCCACATGAACAAGATGTTTTCTCTGTATGAAAACCGAAGAACTCAGATTCTTTGTGAGACTCAAATATAGCATCAGGACATCTGGATATTCTGTTAGGGGTTTTGGGAGGAATATGCTTTACACTCCCGCCATTTCGTTGGGGGACTAGGGTTTTAGGCGATGCGATGCTATGGATCCTCACCCGGAAGCGCCATTTCTCCCGATCGGTGCCGCGGCAGATGCTGGAGAGGAGCCTGGAGCAGCTCTTCGAGGTACAGCGGCCACAGCCGTGTCTTCCTCCGCCGCGAAAATCCCCTCCTCTCTTCCTGGACGAGGATCCCGCGCTCCCCAGGATCAATGCCGATGTCTGGCACCAGCGGCCGTCGCAGTCCGTGGCCAGCGCGCTGCGCCTGGTGAGGAGCAGCGGCAGCTGGCAGCTGTGGCAGAATCAGGGATTAGGGTTCTTGGTGGAGTCGTCGAGCGTCGCGGAGATTCTCGCCCGGCTTGGGGATAATCCGGATGCTTGCATCGCCTTCTTCAGGTATGCCGCCTCGAATCTTAGAGGACACAGGCACGGCACAAGAGAATACAACGCGGTCCTCTGTGTTTTGGCCGAGTTTAATCGGTTCCAGGAGATTGGGAGTCTCATGGACGAAATGCGAGAAAATATAGAGCTCGCTGCTCCAGATCGAGCGACACTGGGTATTTTGCTCGCTTGCTACGGTGAAGTGATGGTTCAAGCAGGGTGGCTTTTGGAAGCCTTGGTTCGACGACATGGGGAAGCACAGCAGCTGCAAGAGATGCTAGAGGTTTTTGCGAGGAGCCACAAGGTTGGGTGGTCTCCATCGCTGGGCTTGTACGAGTACTGCGTCAACGTGCTAGCTGCGAATGGATTTCATAGCCAGGCATCAGAGCTTCGGGCACGAATGCGTGTGGAGAGCAGCGAGGATCGATTCAAAGTCTACAAGGCCGGCATCCTTGCTCTAGCTCGAGCAAAGAGGATGGACTTGGCTGAGGAGCTGATGAAAGAGATGGAGGAGGGTGGAAACAAGGCCGACTTTTACGTCTACACCAGCTTGGTTTCGGGCCACTGTCAAGCAAATCGTCCGGGTGATGCGATAGTTCACTACGAGCAGATGATCCAAGAGAGAATGGAACCGAGCCTGGTGATACACAACATGCTCATCGATTGTTTGGGAAAGGCCGGGTACGTAGATCGTGCTTGTTCGGTCTTCCAAGAGATTAGCAAGCGGGGCCTCAAGCCAGAGCTCGTCAGTTACAACTCGCTACTGGCAGTTCTGTGCAAGAATGGTCGGAGGTACGCTGCCTGGAAGCTTTTCTTAGCGATGAAAGAGGAAGACGGCATCTCTCCAGACTGTGTCACGTACTCGATTCTCATCACCAACACTGGGGATGGAAGTGACATAGCCGAGCCTTGCAGGCTGTTTCTCGAGATGATGGACAGTGGATGTAGTCCGGACATCGTCGTTCACAGCAGCATGGTGAACTTGCTGTTCAAGTGTGGAGATGTTCGGCAGACGCTGGATTTCTTCAAACAGATGGCACAGCGGGGGAAGCCACTCAGCGTCGCGGTGTTCACCAGCATTATCTTCTCGTATGTCCGGTCGGGAAGGATGGATTCCGCGTACCTCCTCTTCCGTGGCCTCCGGGACGTGAGTGGCTACGTTCACCAGCGCATCTACAACGCTCTCATCTGCGGCTTCGCCAATATCGACGACGTGCTGCATGCGTTTTCGCTGTTCAAGGAGATGAAGGCCAACTCTTTTGCTCCGGACCAAGTCACGTACAGGACAATGGTGGCTCTCCTGGCCAGGCACGCAAAGCTCTTCCAGGCTCAGGACACGCTCGAGGAGATGAAAGCCAACGGCTTTACGCCCGATCTGGTGACGTACAACAAGCTCATGGCCATGCTCGGGGAGACTGGCGATTTCAAGGGCGCGTTTAAGCTGCTCCAGGATCTGGAGAGCTGCGGGCTTCAAGCAGACGGCTACACGTACAGTGCGCTTCTCCACAACTTGGGAAGGCACCGAAAGGTGAAGACCGCTTGCAAGCTTTTCGACGAGCTCGAGAACAGGGGCCACAAGCCGTGTGCCATGACTTACAACGCGTACGTTGGCGTTCTCGCGATGGCGGACATGGTGAACGACGCCAACGAGGCTCACAGGAAGATGAGAGAGCTGGGACTGCTCCCAGATCTGGTAACTTACGACGAGCTCATCCGGTTGAACGAGAGGTTTAACAACGAGCGCGAGGTGTTCGAGCTCCGGAGTGACATGGCACGGCGGAAACTGTACTACAGACCCCGGGAAATGCCAGGTATCAAAGACGAAGGCTATATCACAATGAGTAGGAAGGTGCTCGAGAGAACACAGGGTGGCCGTGCCAAGGAAAGAAGGAAGAAAATCTTCTAGGAGAC